AGTGCAGAAATCATGCTATCAAATCTTAAACGAATATCTTTTTTGATTGCATGGAGGATTTAATCATGAGCTGACATCAGTTAGAGAACCACTGGAAAACCTGGGAGTACTGGACAGCTGTTTCGTCCTAGTTTGGGACTCTTCAGCAGTACGCACCCACTGAGATTAGAACACAAGACCTACTGGCTACAAGGCGAGCTCGTAAACCATTAAGCCACTGGGACCCGATCCAATGGCCAGTCCATGAATTCTAACTTCTGCCAGTTCACGACATAGCGACATAGGTTTTCCAGTGGTTCTCTAACTGATGTCAGCTCATGATTAAATCCTCCATGCAATCAAACAAAATCCCTACAAAACCAATACTTGAAAATTAATCTGATGCTCACTAGTGACCGGCCCTATTCAGGCAGTTAACCTGGGGTTCTAGTGGGAAGCCGTGATCAGTAGGGTACAGCAGGTTGAAGATGAGGCAGTAACTCATCGAAGAAGACATTGCGAAGTGGTCGCGCTATGTCGTGAACTGGCAGAAGTTAGAATTCAAGGACCATTGGATCGGGTCCCATTGGCTTAATGGTATACGAGCTCCCCTTGTAACCAGAAGGTCCTGGTTTCGAATCCCGGTGGGTGCGTACTGCTGAAGAGTCCCAAACTAGGACGAAACAGCTGTCCAGTACTCCCAGGTTTTCCAGTGGTTCTCTAACTGATGTCAGCTCATGATTAAATCCTCCATGCAATCAAACAAAATCCCTACAAAACCAATACTTGAAAAGAATATCTTTTTTATCTATGGTAAGCAAATTCTGAAGAGATGTTGAATTGGTATGATTATCCACATGATGATAACACTGTGCTATATTTCTGCATTATTCACATTGATTCAACATCTTTTAGCTCTTATTAGTATCATTTTAGTAGTGTAAGCTTCAATTCCACACTGATCATTATGATCCCTGCAGTGTCCACTTAATTCTAGCACACACAAGCATTTCTTTCAAGCCCTTTTTCCACACTTTAAACTTTAATTCATCACTGACTTCATTATTTCAACACTGAATGTTATTCTTCAGTGCCGATCCTGTCAATCTAACATCCAGGGCTATTTTTCAGCATTTATGTGCTCAGAATTGAGAATTACTTTAAGATCACTACAAGCTTGCGTATATGATTTTAATATACAAAAACTTTGCACACGTGACTCTTATTTGTACTTCATCCCTTTATTAATTTAGATTGTATTTTTCTATTTACTTTACGTTTCAGTGGAACATAGTGCTTCAAGCTAGAGCCTTGAAGTTTCGGTAGTAATGGTTTTTATTTTTACGGGAAGCAACTGCTAGCTTCATGCTCAACCTTCTCACTTTACTAGTCTTATTATCTTCTAAGCGAGGCAAAGGAGTGCGTCAGACGGGGATCGAACCCCGGACCACATGCGTGGGTGGCAAGCATTCTACCGCTGTGGCACTGATTCACAACTTTAGAGTGTAGTTCGTCATTCATAAATAACACACCAATTACCTTTCTAGACAATACCGTTTCCACTACAGGCAGAAAGGATGAAGGATATTAAAGGCAGGATAGGAACGATAAGACGGACCATATAGTTGAGAGACTTGGCATATGTCACCAAAAGTATTTGGAACAGGCTTCATACTTTTATCGACAACTAGCTGCCTTTTCCTAACAGTGGAAACCTGATGGCTGACTATGAACGATAAGCAATAAGGAACACTGGCAATGAAACAACCAAAACCCAGCTGGAGAATATTGAAGAAATGGCTCAAAATTGTTCTCAGTATTATAGATTCATTCACCCTTTCTGTTCTTCAAGATTCATTGGATCGCTCTTATTCTTCATTTAATTATTGTCTATATTATACTTTAATTCAACATTGTTTCATTGCATTCCTTTTCGCCAGCTTTATGCATATCTTTGCAAAGTGCAGTAACTTCAGTGAGTGAGTCCATATTAGTTTGTTTATTAGATGATGTATCACACAGTGAAACAGTATTATTTACTGGATGACGTTTCGAACAAAATTTATTGTTCATAATCATATCAATTGATATGAAACGTTATCCAGTAAATAATAAATAATACTGTTTCACTGTGTGATACATCTAATAAACAAACTAATATGGAATTACTTACTACCACAGTGCCCAGGTTTTACACATATATTCAGTGAGTGATCTTTTATGCAAAATTCTACGCTGAAAAATTCACTTCAGCTCATTTCAAAGTCGACATTAAGTCTTAATTAGTAAATTATTGGAACACAACATTTCGGCATGTTTTTTAAACATTATGGGTAAATTATGATCATTAGGAATAATAAATACGGTGAACTGTACTAAATGAAAGAATCCCTGGTTCATATCTTGTCAGTCGTAAATGCGAATGTTCGCCCACAAAAGTAGCGATACAACTGGAACCAAACGAGGCTGAAATTCATTAGCTAATTGATTCCAATCTACCTCATTGTAAACTAAACGCCTTAGTTTCTATCCCTGTTAGAATTATGGAGAATATGCTAGTGAATAATTCTAATTCATAATAAAATATTTACCCAGTGCACCTTGATTTCCATGAACGAGGTTTCTTGCGACGTTTTTTTTAAAGACATCACAAGTGACTTGTTAATCATTATTATTACTATATTCTTATTACTATTTCCTTTAATTCCTACAGGAACATAGAGCTTCAGCCGCGCATCTGCATTGCGTTTGCTTCTCCACCAATGTCTTCACCTGGCTCCACGTTTGCCCACATGCTTTCATCTTCTCTTCACATGACCTCCTTCAAGTCACCCTCGTACTGATGACCAACTCGCCGCTTCCCTTTCGAGTTCCACTCGAGCGGTGGCTTGTCTAGTGATGTCACTTGATGGTTTCCTCTGAGTATGGCCAATCCATCTCCATTTCTTCCTCGACATTTGTTGCACGATCGGTTCCTGGTTTGTTCGCTCATTGCCAGAGATCGCTGATGCTGATCTTTTCTGACCATCTGATCTTAAGTATTCAGCGAAGGCAGCTGTTGGTCAAGGTCTGCAGTTTGTTGGAGATGCTCTTTATGACGCGCAGTGCAAGTCTCTGATCCGTATAGTGAGTAGCACTGACTGAATTGACATTGGAGTTGAAAATCCGGATCTTATTTTTCATACTGAGTGCTGTTGGTCTCCACACAGACTTGAGAGTAATGAAAGCTTGTCTTGCTTTCCCGATCCTTGCTTTGATTACTACTATAACTGTTGACTTTATATTAAGCGAACCATGAGAAGTCTCTGTGGGGCTAAACCTGTATCATCATACCCGACCATATGCTCAATAAGTCACTTTAAACTGGCTAAATTCTCTACTAACATCATCCTCAATTGCATCTACAAAACTAAAATGCACTCATGGTAACAAGTACATCGGAGGGACAGAAAGAACTTTTATCTGATTTTCTGAATAAATTCTAAGAACTTTTTACCTAAAGGGAAGTAGATACTCAAAATTGACAATTAGCAAACTTATCACGGATACAAGACGTGTCAAGAAACTTAATTCTAAGATCCTATTATTTCCGAAGACGCTCCGAATCGACAACCATTAAGCACAAATATCAACTTTAATTTCAAAACACAATGGATTGTTAAAATCGATCTTCTGTACCAAGTCTATAAACAAATGTTTTTAAAAAAGAATATATTGCACTTTTCTTCATATACTTTCGTCTTCTTCTTACTTATACACAATCGAGTCACTCGCGCCATCAAATTGCCCGCCAATGGCTACCAAAGCCAATAATCAAACGTCCAATGTTCATAACCATTGAGAAGACATTTTATTGAAGTCTCCAAATTGTTTAAAATATTAAATGTGTAATGGAAATTAAATTTATTACTATTTTCTGAAGCGACTGAATTCAAATATTTCTATCCAAACTTATTCATACAGAAAACGAGTGTGATAAATCTCTCACTACCTTGGTAACAAGAGCACTTTTATTTTGATGACGTTGGTTTCATTATCATCCACGTTAGTGATTTCAGCTGACTAAGCTAATTTCAGTCTTATGAACTGGGATTTTTTGAGTCGTTATGTAATCTTATAAGCCAAGAGTTCTTATTACTTTTTCTTTTCTGTTTCCTGAGTGGCGTCTACTACTGATAAAATTTATAAGTAGTATTTAAACGAAATCAATAGGAAATGGCCAAAATGGAAATCAACATTTCAAAGCAATAGCTGCATAGGCAGAAGTGTTTATTCCTCAAGTCTGGCTCTAATTCAAGATGATGGGCAAATTTCAATCTCATTGTTTAACCTTGTGCCAATCGCTAGCCAATCAGGACAGTTTATTCTCCTCTGACCTAGCTGACCTTTAATGTAGGTTAGGATGAGTAAACATGATGTTTTTCCTTAATAAAGGCCCATTACCAATACTCTTATCTTCTACCGTTACACCTGTGTTAATCCTTACCTTAATTTTAAAAGAATTTAAATTAAATTATTTGTTTTTAATAGACTATAGAGATTACTGATACACAATTTAGAGAACCATTGGAAATTCACAGAGTGCTTGACAGCCATTTCGTCCTAGCTTGAGTTTCTTCAGGAACAAGTGATAAATAACCTAATACTCACTGGCGATTAGCTCTTTGTGGAAATTTACCTGTAGTTCCACTGAGAAGTTGTTACCAACAGAGTCCATTACGTCTGGTGGTACAAGGACATTCAGTTGCCTATAACATTGACTGGATCTTGCGCTACATATATTGCAAATCGGCAGAAGTTGAAATTCATGGGTTGGTTATTGGATTGGATCTCAGTGGCTGAATCATCTATGAGTTTGACCGATGGTTTTCGACTCGAACCATGGTGGTTAAGTACCTATAGAGAGTCTCAAATCATTACTCCTTGGTTAGCTACAAATCAATACCCTGAAAACCAACACCTGCTATACCATTATCACAAAAGAAAACAATACTTCCTTACTATGCTACAGCCTATATTTTTACATTTAAATATGCATTTTGTATGTAGTGATAGTGAATAGGTAAAGATTCGCGCACACTATGAATTGTACATAATAAACATAGAATAGAATACACTGGTCATACTCTGTATATCATCAATGTTAATTATTTGGTTAATACCATTTTTCAACTATTGAAATCTAATCTGTATTCAAAAGTACTGCAACTCCTTGTAATATCCAAAATGATGAATGCTCTGTCACTGGAATATCTAATGCAATAACAAATCCTTCACCCATTGCATTGCGTCGTTGACTTGTCACATAGACTGGTACTTGTACAGTGTTAGTTAATTTTAATCGATGCTTTTCAACTGGTGTCAATTTGATGATGGGCATTTCTTGTAATAATTCACGTGGTTTCTGTCGTGTTAGACACATTTTCTAATTGTTTTTTGAATGAGAGTATAAAAAGCAAATGAAATATTCAATTAGAATTGAAATATTGAATAGGGAACTTTCATTGAATATTAGCTGATAACTAGTGTCATGAGTATAGTTCTTTGTTTAGTACACACTGAATTCTGTCAGTCAAGTTTACAATGTGGCCACCATGCTAGATGACTAACTCTCAATTGATGTTAAATAGTTTAAGGCAATCAGCCACAGGAAGACTTCCAACTAAGCTTCGTGCTAGTAGACACTTACCAGTCAACAAGGCGCATCTGTAACCTTGAAAGGACTCATTTGCGTCCTTCTTAGATTCGAACCCACGTCACTCAGTGAGTGCTGCAGTCAGAGATGTTACCACTGAGCTAGCTATTCAGACTCACGACTGACTTCCTGTAAGACTGACTGTATTGGATATTTCTGATTGGACGTTAATCAATAACTAGTGCAATGCGTCTAGTCTTATCTGCAGCACTGGATGCTGCGGGTTCGACTCTCACTAGGATGGACATGATTTCCTTCAAGGTTTCCGGTATGCCTTACTGATGAGTGCCAACTAGCACGAAAACTGGGTCCATGGCTCCCTGTAGATTGCTTTCAACTATCTAGTAACGACAGTTCACAATGAACCGCAATGGCGAGCCATCTAGTGTGGTGGCCACATTGCCAAATTGATTGATAGAATTCAGTCCACACCAAACAGAGGACTAGACACACGCACGCACGCACAATAAAGTAGTTACTGACTAGTGTCCAATCAAATATATAAATATATATTCTTTAGAATAAACAGTGAACTCTGAGGTTTCACTGTTGTGGTATTGCACATGAGAATGAACAACTTTTTTGCCAACAATTGATAAGAACTAGAAATATTAGCTAGAAGAGTCATGTATTATTCTAAATTGTGTTCTTTTGTAAAGTGTATACTTGATTGAATTAGGAATAAGATGTCAAATAATTCTCAGTCATAAGAACACGTGAAATTAATCCACAGAATAATCAGTCACATGGGGAACTGTGAAATCTCTGAATATAGTTAATTAGCAGATATCGATACTTCCTCATTTAACATTATAAATAATATCTCTGAGGTCCTATCATAATGGTCTGCATATATTTACTCGTTACGTAATATGTTATGCATTTCTAACATAGTTTTTTTCCCCCGGTAATTCTATGTTCCTCCTATACTTTTCCTCACCTTGGTTATCTTTGCTGTGAAGTTGGCAGTCGTTAGCAAGTGTTGGACTGGAGAGAGTCGATCATTTTCAGGTTTGATCACGAAATGATTTCAGTTAGACAGCAACTGAAAACCAATGAGTAATGGAGAACTGTTTCATCTTTTCCTGGGACGCTTCAGAAGTGCGCATCCGTGACCCTGTCAGTGATCCAAGTCAGGAACTTCATGTCACGAGTTAAGCTCGTTGACTATTCAGCCTTTGGAACGAACACATTTTGTAAATAGATGGTCCTGGGTTCGATCACTGGTAGAATCTTGATAGCTCATTGATGAAGAGTCTTAAGCAGACGCAAAACTATCTAGTTATTTTGGGTAGCCAAAAGGTTTTATGTAAAAGGATAGAGACGTAGATACAAGCATTCCAGCTCTTGAAACTCCACAAATTACTCTCTACATTGCTTAAATTGCACATTAAATTTTTTACCGGAAGTTACACAATTAGTCAACAGTGCTCAAACAGTGCTCATTAACAAATATGGAAGATGTGAAAGCTCAAATACCAAACAATTCACAGTTGAAAAGAAGCCTGTGTTCATTCAACTAGATTTTAAAGTTGAAAACATTGCAGCGATGATCAACAGAATTCAGAGAACGTCACTAGCCAGAGCCTATCCTGCAGGTCAGCTTATTCCCGTCCATCGAATAACATGCTCTTTGGTGCAGTCAAAGTTGACAGATACCCTTCTCATGTTAACTCGAATTGTGTATACAAATTTACGTGTATCTGCGGGAGAAGTTACATTGGAAGAACAGAAAGAAGGGCACACCTCCGATTTTCTGAACATGTGCCAAAAAGCCTATGTCTCAAGGGAACAAACTCTTCGAGTAGCGCTATTACCAGACATTTCCTCGACACGGGTCATGAGGTGGAAATCAACAATATTAAATGTTCTCTCACCTTTACATCCCATGCTGAACCTTCAATATATAGTCCGTGAACATAACATCCAATTTCAGGTGCCATTAGTATTGTGTGAACCTCTTCTGGGACAACATCAGTCACTGTTGTTTGTATAGCACATTTATCTAAAGCCCAACCATATTTTCGACAGGCTTTTTGTATTAAAGCAGTTATATAGGATTGAGGTAAGTGTAGACCGGATAACCACATCACAGCTGGTTCACTTTTACCGGTATTTATCTATTACAATGCAAAAGAAAGCGCGCATGAAAAAAATTGACAACATGAATATTACCTTAACCAACTAGTACAACTAGACAGTAAAAGATCAATACTTTCTTCGAAGTTTTGTTTCACTCTACTGCGAGAATCATACAACTAATTGCAACATAAGCCTACAATAGTCAATCTTTACATCACACGCCAGGCAGACCCCGAGTGTAGTCTTAATTGGCAAACAATGAGTCAATGAGTTGAAAGGCGACTTGGGGGAGATTACATGAAAAAGAAACGGCAGCTTGGGGATAGTCATACAGCTGGAAATGATGACACTGGACCAGGTGAAATGGAAATACGTCTTTCAAGCGCTATATTCCGTCCAGGTAGTATCAAATAATTAACAGTGGATTACCAATAATTACTGTTGGTTAAAAATATTCAAATCACAAACTACAATCTTCTCAACATAAAGAATAGAGTGAAGTGAGCTAAAGAACTGAACAGTCAACCAGTGTTTACTGATATGTTCCAATAACAAATATTTTCCAACTACTTATATTCCGTTAAGTAGTATGTGCTGAACATTACTAAAAACACCAGCGTTACTATTCCGATAAATGTTTAAATATTCCGAAGTAAATTAACAAAGTGTCAGTCTCAGGTTCCTTCGATTTGCTGAATAATTGTTCCCTATTAATCCTGTGAATTGTTGTAGATGGATGATCTAACCATCATTCACAGAATACCGTCAATAAGACTGTCAGTGGCGGGGGATACATCATTTGAAAACGTTGACGGTTGATTTGAGTTACATAAGGAGGTGAAGACTGTCTGGTTTCGATCTTCAAAATACTAGGGATCAATGGCTTCAGACTACTTGTAATATAAACCGAAACCGTTCTTGGCTGCGCAGATCCATTCAGTCTTTATAATCTGCTAGATCTATTAATTTTTCATATTTATCGACTCAATTATTGTTTCTATGGCACATTTCTGTTCATTATAATTCTCTTAAACTTATTTTTCTCTGTTTTATGTGCTACATGGAGTGTGGTAACTTGAACTGCTATACTCTGTACAAAGTCCTACAATGAAACTTATCGAATATTAACTGTACACAATATATTTTGTCAATTAGTATACCCCTTTCATTTTTATAGTAGATTACAGTAACTTCTGCATATTCAAGTGTGAGCTGAACAATTCTCATTAGCTTTTTATTTCAATAGCATAACCAACTAATTGTTGGAACAAAGATAGTATAAACGGTTTTTCATCAACTGCTAACAGCCTTAAAAGTTATTTGAAAAATGCAAAAATACATAGCATACTTCGAAGATTATTTCAACTCAAAGGGCCTAGGTATGGAAGAAGATATATGAAAACAAAATGTTTAGTAATCTGGCAATCACAGCACATCTATACATAATAAGATGGAAAGTTCGATAGAAGCGGATGGAAGTGAAAAGAAGTAGTAAGAAGAAGAAATAAAGTTATTGTGCAAACAAACAACAATAAAGTAAATTAAAAGACTACTAATGAGTTCAGCTTAGTGAATGGCAATCAAAAATATTATGACGCAACAAAACATTTATGTTATGACGAGGGATACTGGGTTATTAGTTCGTTTAACTTCAATGTGAAGTCAGTGCTACTATACGGATGGATCAGAGAGTTAGTGCTTCATAAAGAGCACATCGAACAAACTACAGACCTTCACTAACAGCTGTCTTTGCTCAATACTCAAGGTCAGATGGCCGGCCAGAAAAGATCAGCAACAGGGATCTCTGACAGTCAGCGAACCAACTAGGAACCGAATGTGAAACAAATAGGCAGGAAGAAATGGAGGTGGATTGGCTTGGCCATACTGTGAGGAAACAAACCATCAAGGGACATCACTAGACAAGCCATTGCTCAAGTGGAATTCGAAAGGGAAGCGGCGAGTTGGTCGTCAGTGCGAGGGTGACTTGGAGGAGGTCATGTGAAGAGGAGATGAAAGCATTTGGGGGGCAGACTTGGAGCGGGGTGAAAACGTTGACAGAGAACCGAAGGCAATGGAGACGTTTGTCTGAAGTTCTTTGTTCTTCTAGGAACTAAAGGATAAAATAATAATAAGTTCGTTGAACTTGGCTGGAATGCTTCTCTAGAACACAACAGTGTAATTGATTGTTCATTCCAAATTATCCCTCAAACTAAGATAGACACAAAAGTCTAGATAGATAGATAGACACTAGAAAAACGACAACCTCAAAGACATTGCTTTAAGTCATAAATATACGAATCGGAATTGTCAGATAATGTTATCGTTTCAGTACATACGAAATTCACGACTTCATGGTAAACGGAGAAGCTTTTCCACTCTCACACACAGAAACAGAGCAGAGACTCCCAGTCATCAGGGCACTGTGAGATTAATCACACTATCTTTTTAAATACAGACATTAGGTTGTCATCTTTCTTGATAGTGATGGCTTCTAAGAAGCGAAGTAACCAGGTGTTTTTTCTCTGTAAGTTGATTATTTCGAAGGCTTAACTGATTTCAACCAAATGCGTCTTGTCAATCAGGTGCTTAACGACTAAGCTTGCAAACACTTTTTCACTTTTTATTTGAAGATTGCTGAAGTACATCCAGCTGACCAGTCTCAAATAAGACGAAATGCACATCCTGGATACCACTCATAATCGCCATCCACCAAATAACTTCTGATTACATTCCCAGACATCGTCGAAGCATCTGCGCAAGAAGCCGACATGTCAACCTGAGACCAAGCACTTCACTACAATCAATCGACAGGAAAACCTAAAAATTCAACGATATAATTAATATGACCCGTTGCACAAGAAGTGACTCTCGTGGCCCAAATGATCTGGTGAATAACGTTGTGGCGTTTGAGATTATGCTCACTGTGTTCTAGCCTCGATGGGAATACCATCACTCACTGGGGAATGCAGATACAATCAAATAGACAAGTCGCAAACAGAACAAAATGCATATCCTTGATTCCACTGCTAGTCACCGTACACCCATTAAATTGCTTAAGAAATGCTAAGAAAATCAAGTATCTTTTGCCGTTTATTAAAGCAATACGGTAGTTACTGAAACTCAGACGCTTAGGCTTGAAGTCCTTTTTTCCACTTGGAACGCAAGGAATTAATAAAGTCATATACGATAAGTGTGAATATGTTTCTTGCAGAAACGTATTTTCCTGATTCATTTGCATCCTCAGCGTAACACACAGCTTCAAGCTTGAGGTCCGAAGTTTCCATAATAGGGGTGATTAGTTTTCACAGGATGAAATTACCAGCTTAATACTCAACCTTTCCTATTAACCAAACCTAGTACCGGCTAAGTGGGGTTAAGGAGTGAGTCGGCCGTGGGTGGTACCTTACACCATATGCTTCTTTATTGGTGACAGCCCCACAGCTGCACCACCAACTCATTCAGACGGAGAAATGAACTCTAGTCCCCTGGTTTACAAGACAAGTTCTCTAACTACTGAGCAGATACGTAACAGGAATAACTGATGTAATAGTGAAGTTAGGCCTGTGAAATTTTGTTAAACAGAACTTTATCAGAGAAAATAATAAAAAAAAATAACTAAAGTAACTACAAACAGTGTGAATGCATTCAACTTACCCATTTTTTATACTGATCTGATCTTCGCATTAAATGTTGTAACCAATTTGGTAGAGATTTTTCTGTTTGTGGAACAAGACGTCTCCAACTGTCCGGTAGAATACCGTTAGCCAGACAACGTGCAATATCATCTAGCTCTTGTGACATGCCAACTTTACCGCTTAGCGCATTTTTCAATTCACTAAGTGATGTATTAATTTTTTCAAGAATTAAATTAAATCTAAGTAGAGAAATTCAACATTAGAGTCTGGTGATTAAATTATTTTTTTTTACATACCTTTCTAATTCCTGGATAAGTACTATTATTGTCGGTGAAATTTCAGTTCCCATATACTTCCGTTTCAGGGCATCAACATCAAATAAATTAGGCAAACGATTTAGTATACTATCTGCCATACGACTTATCATAATATCACGACCAGAGGTAATTGGTACTGCTGATGTTGAAGCCTCTGTAAACATGGTTATTGAAGAGTGTATAGTTGAGGCGGTAATTGAAGCATTGCGTCGATTAACAGCCTGTTGGAGTTCATTAAATGAAATCTCTTCAATTTCATCATCATCATCGTCATCATCCTCATCGCTTCGACTGCTTGAAGATGCTGCTGATGCAATAGCAGCTCCTTCAACTGTTTCATTTTCTACGGCTTGATCAGGAGGATTTTCAGTTGCTCCACCTGAATTCGCATCCATATGTTCACTGCCTTCAAGATTCAAGTTAGCTGAAGCATGTGAAACGGTTGCACCAGATCTAATAGATTCACGATATTCAGCTTCACTTTCTGAACCTGCTAATGTAGCCGCTGCATTCAGACGCTTAACAGAAGGCACACCACCGACATTTTCAGTTTCAGGTATTAGCAAAAGTAAGTTAAACCATAAACTTCTAGCGTATTGAGCTGAATAACCGATTGATGCATTTGAATGTAAACCTAATACTTCTGGTTTTTGACTTGAAGGTAAGTGCGAAACATATTCTAATATCCAAAAAAAAATAATAATAGTATAACCTCAAGCAATAACTTGATAGGCAAACAAATTTGAAGGTAAATATTCGTTATTGATCTACGTGGCATACTTACCTCACCCGTTGCATACATATAAGTCTTCCAAATATGGACCATCAGAAATAGTCTCGTTCATATCATTTAAGCCTCTCCATCCTTAATAAATGACTGTTACAATTTCTTTCTCAGTCTTTGTGTTCCGAGTGGAGAGTAAAACTTCAAGCTTCCTTAAAACTTCGTTAGTGGTAATGTTATTTTTGTGGAGTTAGGTCACCAACCATATTCTCAAGTTTCTCTCTTTCCCTGGCCTATTACAATCGACTAAACTAGGTGAAGCTTGGCCGGAAGTGTTAGCCAGAAGTCGAAGATGGACGAGATGTGTGGCTGATGAGTATTCAATTAATGAACCACCAAAAGTAAACACTTTTTTCTGTTACCGAAAGGATAAATCTTTACTTTAAATCAGTAGCCATTAAAGTGATGAAATTTACTCCGATTTTCTAGTCTGTCTGTTTCATGTACGTAGTCGATTTACAAGCTAGTTGAAGTCGGATGCTTATAAGTCAGTCAGTTACATCTTGTTGGGCTGGTTAACAGACAAAAGTCGCTTACTATCAAAATCACTTTTTTTTATAAATTAAAGGTAATAAATGGAACATGATCGCCTAAGTTATTTACAATTCTTAGAATAGAAGGTAAACTGATTAATGAACTTATCCACATGGCTGACTGAGTGATATGTCACTAGATAAGGGATATATAGTTCCTGAAGTTGTTCTCCAAAGAAGTCTCCCACTGAGCAATGCAAGAGTGGGAAGAAATGATATCTAGAGCCAACTGTTATTATTCAATAAAACTGCCCATACAATCTTGTTAATTTCAGTTCAAATTAATCACAATTTAGTGTTATAAATATATAATGGTAATGCTAGCTTAATCATTTCTGTTGAAACAGCTGGAAACTAGTAGAAGTAACTTGCATTAATAGACTGTCATTTATTCTATTAAAGCCTATTTTCATCAAGCTCGACTACAAGGTTGACGACATTATGAGAATGGTAAATAATAGATTAAGCGCGGCCCTGTCTAGGATGTATCCTGCAGCATTATTAGTCTCTCTACCCAGATTAATCTCCTCACGGGTGCACTCAAAGATTGACAAGTACCCCCTCACATGTTACCAATTCAAATGTATCTGTGGGAGCAATTACATTGGAAGAACAGAGAGGAGGACCTACGTCAGATTCTGAGAACATGTACCAAGGAGCCTCCGGCTTAAGGGACTGAATTGTTTAAGCTCTTCAATCGCTAAACACCTAAATGACACACGACACTGAGTAGATGTGCTGGAATCATTCAAAATAATTAACAGACAGAGTACCTCAAGTCTTCTCAGGTTTGGTGAAGCTATAGCAATAAAACAATTGAAGCCTGATGACTTATGTGTCCAAAAACAATCCGTTACTGGACTTCAGTTACCATGGTGACTCACATCTTAGTAACTTTTTGTTTTCTAATTTCGTTAACTTATCTTTTCACTCCACCCCACCCCCTTTATTTTTCGCTTGACTCTTTTAAGAGATAGTTTTTCTTGATCTTCTGAGTTCTGATCACTGTATTACATCATCAACTTCTCATCTGGCCTCATGTGCACCGAAATTTTGATCTTCTCTTATCAAATTACGTAACTGTTACTAATTTTCTTTTGTTACCACCCCAACAACACAACTATTAATTAATTTTTTTCAAGAAACTTCCCTTTAACAAGATATATAATATATATACATATATGTCGTAACACATCTTGTAAATCGCAACGCCTTATTTCACTATGACGCTCTGTCAATATGCTTGCTAATGGATAAAAGTTTGCAAAAATTGTTCATTTTTTTATTTTATTAAAGAATTCAAGTTGTACGCAGATGATGAGAACCGACGAAATAATATGGATCCAGATTATTCTGCGCCAATGTTTCTTCTTTCTTTGTTCAAATATTCTATTGAAATATTGTAATAATTTCATATTCATTATGTAATAATGTACATTAGACTGATTAGAAAAGATTCATATACTGATGATATGATAAAGACTGGGTGCTGTACTGATAGATGGTTGGATTATTAATTATTTGGAATAAAGCAGTATACTGTATATAAAGCAAAGTCACTTTGCTTCCTAAGACGGGTGTCGCTGAAGGCTCTGTTCTTTCTTTATCGCTATTTCCCTTCATCTTATATGACTTGCCTTACTTGTTCTGATGAAACCAATATTGTTACGTATATTGATCATCTGACCGTTTCATGGTCTAATAATTTCCAATCAGATTATTACACAGTGAAAAGATTTTTATTGAAAGTTTACCAGTGCCGTATACTAAATGGTCACGGACTAAATCCTTCCAAATATCAAATGATTAACTTCACCTTTAGTCGTAAACGGCTGTGAAGTCAATGCTACTGCATGGATCAACGACGCAAAGCATCATCAAGAGCACCTCAAACGAACTACACGCCTTCATTAACAGCTGTCTTCGCTCAACCCAGAAGGAGCCGATTGTGCAACAGATATGCAGGTGGATTGGCCATACTCTGAGAAAACAAACCATCGAGTGAGTGACATCACACGATAGTCTCTCTCTCTCAAGTGGAACCCGAATAGGAAGCGGCGAATTAGTCGTCAGTTCGTGTGTGACATGAAGGAAGTGATGTGAAGAGGTGATAAAAGCATGTAGACAGACGTGGAACGGGGTGAAAAGGATGATGGAGAAGCGAACGCAGTGGAGACGTTCGGCTAATCCTCTATGTTCCTCTAAGAACTAAAGGAAACAATAATAACAATAATTTAGCCGTAAACGAAGTGGTTCATTCGCATGACTCTCCTATCATAGAGACCATTGCTACCGAAACTAACTTTATTATAATCGTTTTCTCATCTTTCATAACCGTCCCAAATCTTGTTAATTTCTAGAAAAATATTTCGTCTAACCTTCTGTATAGTGAAGTTTAAAACAATCGGGTATCGCTCAGCCTGTAATCTAACAGTTTGTTAACTCTTGTGCTTCACCTATTCTTCTTTAGTGCACTGCTATAATATTTCCTGAGCTACCTGGAAAAGAAAGTGACTTTGTTACTGAGCGAAGAACCTGAAAAAAGCTGTCGGTTTATTGGGTGATTCGCCTCAAAGCCAATTTCGTTGACTGTCAAAAGTCATCTTATCGAACTATCAGCTCCCTCTTTATGCATAACTCTTCTCTCTCGCATCTTATCAGGTAGGACCAAGTGCAATTCTAAAAGGCTTTATACTTGCACAACTAAAGTTAAAAACTTCAGGATATCCTATTTGGTAGGTACTCTGTTTAAAGGGAAAAGTTTTGGACATGAAACTACTAACTGTGAACTAGAAAATAAAAGACTCTTTTCATTCTTTCCACCATAAATTAATATACTATTGTCATTATTTCTATTAGCTTATAATTTTAAATATACATTCATATTTTAATTGCCCTTATAATTACTGCAAATTTAAAAGAAAAGTCTTGTAATTCTCAACTATTGGTTTGATCACAGGATTTAGCCATGAGCTGACATCAGTTAAACAATCACTGCAAAACCTGGGAGTACTGGATTGCTATTTCGTCCCAGTTTGACATTCTTCTGCAGTTTATCAGATTTTTTGAGACGAATACTCGCCCCCCCCAAAGAAATTTTTTTTATTTTTTTTAATTTTATTTTTGATTACAGCTTGACTCCACACCGTATTTTTGGTACAAGTGTGGAATTTTCAGTGTGGATATCGGTAGCCCAAAATTCGCAGGCCGACCATAGATATCAGGTGTGCATCGGCGTGGGCTCGAACCCCAGACCATGTTCATGGTCGGCGAGAGTCCTAACCACTGTGTCTATTAGTCTTGCTATATCGTCAATTTGCAGAATTTGGAACTAATGCACCATTGGATCAGGCAGGTCCCAGTGACTTAATCGTCTACAAGCTCGCTTTGTAACCGGAATTTCCTGGCTTTGAACCTTGGTGGGTGTGCTCTGATGATGAGTCCCAAAGTGGGACGAGACAATTATCAAGTACTCCCATGTTTTCCAATGGCTCTCTAATAGATGTCAGCTTACTATGTAATAAAAAGAGGAAATCAGATCCGATGTTGTACTACATTCTGAGAATTCAACAATGTCTCAAAGTACTACTGTTCGAAATGAAGTTATTATTATTATTATTATTGTATCCTTTAGTTCCTAGAGGAACATAGGGCTTCAGCTGCGCACCTCCATTGCCTTCGGTTTTCTGACAACTTTTTCACCCTGCTCCAGGTCTGTCCACATGCTTTCATCTCCTCCTCGCATGACCTCCTCCAAGTCACCCTCGCACTGACGACCAACTCGCCGCCTCCCTTTCGGCTTCCACTCGAGGAATGGCGTGTCTAGTGATGTCACTTGATGGTTTCCTCAGCGTATGACCAATCCATCTCCATTCCTGTCTGCCTATTTGTTTCACAATCGGTTCCTGATCGGTTCGCTCATTGCCAGAGATCCCAGTTGCTGATCTTTTCTGGCCATCTGATCTTGAGTATTGAGCGGAGACAGCTGTTAATGAAGGTCTGAAGTTTGTTGGAGATGCTTTTTATGACGCGCTGGCCAAGTCTCTGATCCGTATAGTAGCACTGACTTCACATTAGAGTTGAAAATCCGGATCTTATTTTTGATGCTGAGTGATGTTGACCTCCTGTACACAGATTTGAGAGTAATGAAAGCTTGTCTTGTTTTTCCGATTCTGGCTTTGATATCCTCATCAGGTCTGTCCGCCTGTAGTTGAGACGATGCTTCCCAGGTAGGTGAAGGAGGTTGTTTCTTTCAGGTTCTTCCCACTTATGCTGATTGTTGTCTGTTGTTGTTGTTGTTGTTGTTGCTGTTGCTACTAGGATTATTAGTTGAAACATACTGGAAAAGTATTGTGAAACAACAACAACAACAAAAAAAGTACCTACCTAAATATAATTCTTTATAATTTGCTGAATCTGATGGTTCCTCTGGTATGAAATATTCTAATTTACTGCTTTTATAAAATCGGAATGGTTGAAAATCATCAAACAGAAAATCACCAAAATATTCATCCATATATGTGGTTAATACACGTCGATCAAAGTTGTCAATTGTCCTACCACCATACATTACCTAAAAATAAAATTTTAAAAAAAAATAAGATAAGAACAGTTCAGCAGGCTGATTCGTAAGTACTTTAGTGCCTACGATATTTAATTAATAATTGCAATGATGAATTTAGCAACAACTCTAAGAAAATAAATGAAGCGGAACCATTGGTAACGTGTGGAGAAATGGTGCCATCACACTGACAGAGGTTATTCCACCCTAAAGAATAACACAGAAGAAAACATCTTTATTTAAGTGTTGGTTTGTAGGGATTTGGTTGGTTGGTTACAGGATTTCATTATGAGTTGACATTGGTTAGAGAACCACTGGAAAACCTGCCAGGGAGTACTGGACAGCTGTTTTATCCTAGTTTGGGGGTTCAAACCCAGGACCTTCTGGTTACAAGGCGAGCTCGTATACCATTGAGCCACTGGGACCCGATCCAATGGCCAGTTCATGAATTCTAACTTGTGCCAATTCACAACATAGTGCGACCCCTAGCCAATATCTTCGGCGAGCATTTGTCCTCACACCCAACCTGCTGCACCCTACTGGTCACGGATGGATAGTTCTGATGTGGCTATGCTGTTTGAGCTGAGTAACTTGATGATAAAGGTTCCATTGTCTCTCTGGACAATATCTTCAGTGATTACTTCAGTGAAAAATGAATTATTTCATCTTCATTGTGGTTTGAATACAAAGGAAGAAATATATATATAACGTTTTAGCCTCCAAGCGTTATATTCGTGTCTACAGGTTCATTTTAATCTTCTCTTATGGACGTGTTTCTGTTTTTTTATTGACCATGTTGATATAAACTAATCTGTTATTATTAGTTGGCCTGAGCCAAATGAAAGGAATCCTTGTTGATATTCACCAATCGGCAAGGCGTATCTGCATTCTTGAAGGAACTTATGTACCGTGTAGAATTTGAACCGCCATCATCGAGTTGTATAGTCAGAGACGTTACTACTGAAGTAGTCGGGCTCGTGATTGGCCTACTGTAGGACCGTATTGGGTACTCTTATTAGGCATTTGGTCATTTCACCCCTCTGATTCCAACAAAAAATTAGTTCGTTTTTTTACATATTTTTTGTATTTTTAGTACTTTTTTGAGCATTGAGGTTTCTGTAGTAGTTTTTGATTAGTGTCTTGAGGTAGGGTCTCTAGCCCCATGGAAAACACTCCCACTTTTCCCGGGTCTGCAGTCAGCTAGTAAACTAGGTGAGGTTACTTTGATTAGACGCTAGGAAGTAACCAGCGTAATGTGTCTATTCCTTTCCTTAACATAACATAACATAACATAAGCTTTATTCCAAATCAGTACTTGTGATACAGAATGGAATTCTCAGCATTTTACTACAATATTGCATCCAGTTTTTACATTAACAATAAATAAAGTTCTACATAGATTAAAGTTATCTCAACAACATATTAGTATGTCGGTAGCAAAGCCAAAATTAAAGTGTTTGAAGGTGTTAGAAAAGTAGATACTACTAGCATATTTACTGGCGTAAGCGATAGCAAAATGGTCGAGATATACAGAGTGTGAAAGAACGAACAAGAATGTTTTAAGTAGAGTTTGCAAGGAAGAGAGAAACAAAACAGCACATAACAAAAATAAATACAGAATGAAGAGCGAGAAAACGTTGTACCTATAAATGATGTGAGTTGGAAAGACGAGATCCATTGGTTCTACTGACTATTTAATAAGTTAAAGGTTTCATGCCTGATGCATTCTTTATCGCACAGAACACGGGCTAGGTAGGGTATGGATGAGTTTTTGTACTTACTAGTGCGGGCATATAGTTTCCTATATAGGCTTCTTGTTTTCCCTGAAGAGATACATGGGGAGAGTTGTGAATGTAGAGGGTGTTGTGAGTCAGATAAAATGGATTTCGCCCATTTTTCACATGAGTCCATATGCCTGTCCACCAGAATATTAACAAGCTGGCTAAGTGGCAAACTGCTTACCCTGCTGACAACCTTTAACATCCTACGTAATAAGGTATAGTCTTTCTTCAATAGCCCAGGAAAGACTAAGGGGGAGCAATAGAGAATAATAGGCAGAATACGGGAGTTAACAAATTGTAAGAGTAAGGGTTGGGTTACACCAGAATGTCTTAACTTCTTGATGTAGAAGGTAAGACGGTATATTTTCTTGGAAATCGTCAAGATATGAGACGACCAGGAAAGATCAGAAGATAAAGTGACGCCTAGGTATTTAATTTCCGACTTGGTTTCTATTTCACTGCCATCTATGTTGCACACCTCGTGAGTGCTAACCAGTTTGTTTAGGTCAGATTTATGCCTAAGGGTGAAATTAACTGTTTGGCATTTGGAGGGGTTTAAGGTTAGACCGTTTTCCTTGGACCATTGGCTAATTTCCGATAAGAAGCCATTTAGTTTAGAGCAGTCACTTTGACATTTGACAGGCAAAGATACAGTTAGGTCATCAGCATATTTGACAAAGTTAATGTCATTTGAAGACGGTAGGTCATGTAGGAAGAAAGAAAAGAGAAGTGGGGAGAGTACAGCACCTTGGGGGACACCAGCTTCTGTGAGCACAGCAGAGGAGGATTGGCCTTTGTATACGGTGTACTGCATTCTGTACTGCATTCCTTGGTGTAGACTGAATTCTATCAGTGAAGTTTGCAATGTGGTAAGCCTTCTTGATGTTTCGCCATCACGATACATTGTGAACTGTTGTTATTAGATGGTTGGAGCCTGCCAACTAGGTTTCGTGTTTGTTGGCATTCAGTAGCAACATCTGCGGCTACAGCACTGGGTGACACAATTTTGAATCTCTCATAGGTGTCATGAGTTGCTTCAAGACTGTAGATACGGCTTACTGGCTGTTGAATGCGGAGAAGCATGAAACCTAGGTCCAAGGCTTACTGTCGATTACTTCCAACCACCTAATAACTGGAATTCAGAGTGTACCATGTTGGTGAGCCACCTAGATAGGTGGCCACATTACAATGTTGACTCATAGGATTAAGTTTGCATCAAACAAAGGGTAAGACACATGACACTAGTTACTATCTAATGTCTAATCACGATAATCTGATCTGTTCATAACTTCTGTTGAATTGCCTTTGTCTGATTTGACAGTCCCTATGTTCTGTCACTCCTCAAAGTTTTTAATGGTAAATTCCTTCCCGTTTTCTCTAAATGTTTTAATGCCAATACACTTTGTGTTCTAGCTGTCTCAGAAGTTGTTTTGTCTATTTTGTTCAATGCTACATGTAAACTAGAAATGACATCCTCGGGTTTTAAGCTTTCAAAGGCTACACTGATATCTAGTCATTTTTAAAGCAATTTTTTTTTTATTTCATCAGGGCTTAGTGTTCTTGCCGACAGTTTGATTATCCACTTTTTTCTATCAATGGTTAATGATATTTCGTTAGTGACTTCATTCTTTTCCTAGACAGAGATTCTTTTCCCTGTAATATTTATTGAACTTTTTAATTTGAATAATTTTGGATTTAGTAAAAGCGAATAAACTGAACTTTTTGGATGTTTTGAATGTATATATATATATATTATTTTTATTATTATTATTATTGTATCCTTTAGTTCCTAGAGGAACATAGGGCTTCAGCTGCGCACCTCCATTGCCTTCGGTTTTCTGAGAACTTTTTCACCCTGCTCCAGGTCTGTCCACATGCTTTCATCTCCTCCTCGCATGACCTCCTCCAAGTCACCCTCGCACTGACGACCAACTCGCCGCCTCCCTTTCGGGTTCCACTCGAGCAGTGGCTTGTCTAGTGATGTCACTTGATGGTTTCCTCAGCGTATGGCCAATCCATCTCCATTTCTTCCTACCTATTTGTTTCACAATCGGTTCCTGCTGTGTTGATTCGCTCATTGCCAGAGATCCCTGTTGCTGATCTTTTCTGGCCATCTGATCTTGAGTATTGAGCGAGGACAGCTGTTAATGAAGGTCTGAAGTTTGTTTGAGATGCTCTTTATGACTCGCCAAGTCTCTGATCCGTATAGTGAGTAGCACTGACTTCACATTGGAGTTGAAAATCCGGATCTTATTCTGATTTTCATGCTGAGTGCTGTTGACCTCCTGTACACATATTTGAGAGTAATGAAAGCTTGTCTTGCTTTTCCGATTCTGGCTTTGATGTCCTCGTCAGTTCCGCCTGTAGTTGAGACGATGCTTCCCAGGTAGGTGAAGGAGGTTGTTTCTTTCAGGTTCTTCCCACTTATGCTGATTGTTGTCTGTTGTTGTTGTTGCTGTTGATGTTGGCTAGGAATCTTCATCATCTCTGTTTTATCTATGTTCACGTGAAGTCCTATATATATATATATATATATATATATATATATATATATATATATATATCTGCGTCTGTGGCACAGCGGTAGAATGCTCGCCGACCAAAGTGTGGTCCAGAGTTCCACCCCAGAACGACTCACTCCTTTTCCTCCCTAAGCCAGTAATAAGACTGGTAAAGAGGGAACATTGAGCATGAGGCTACGCGACACAACTGCTACTGAAACTTGAAGGCTCTAGCTTGAAGCCGTATGTACCTTTGGGAACATAAACGAATGAAAAATAGATATGTATATACTATATTTTTAGTTTGAATATCAGTTTTTCAGTCTCTTGTCTGATAGCAGTTAGTTTCTTGATAATTGATGTGAATTTCTTTTCGTAACTAGAGTCTATTAATGTATTCGCCTGTTTTCACCTTTATCGTTGTAACCGTGACATCTATACGAAAGTATATCAGTGATGTGTATGCTCGGCTTATTGAATTTTTAGATTCTGCTTCACCAATGGCCTTTTAATGTAATATAAAATTTTATAATCTGAAAGGAGAGAATTATTCACGTAAAAAGTCACATGGAAATACGTTTTGTCTCACTGTGTGAACACATTTCTAACCTTAATTTTCCACTGGAATTTTAAAGAAGAAAATACTACAAAAAAATAAGCCGTTATTAGTCGATCCTTTACTATTATTAATTTGGACATTATATTCTTAGTGGAACATTTAGCTTCCAGCAGCGTATCTACATCGTACTCAATCCTTTGTCATTCTTTTCAGCCGACATTTGGTCAGTAATTAATTTCAAAAGTAAACACTAAATTATTTTAAAGGATGCTTTCAAGACCATGAGTAAGAATGAGGAGTAATAATCAAATTTATTGAATTTTATTCTGATAATAACCTTTTGTTGTACAGCTGTTGTAAGGAAAACTGTTAGCTTAGACTTTAGGAAGAATTAACAAGAATTCTAAGTCTACACAAAATAGGCAGTTAAGATCAAGATAAGAATACAGCAAGTAAATAGGGGTATTCCCATCCTGTAAAAGACTAGCTCAGTTATGCTGCCAGCCAGATGATTAACACATCTATTTAACTGTATGGATTTTCAAGTATTGGTTTGGTAGGGATTTTGCTTGATTGTATGGAGGATTTCACCATGAGCTGACATCAGTTAGAGAAACATTGGAAAACCTGGGAGTACTGAGCAGCTGTTTCGTCCTAGTTTGGGACTCTTCATCAGTACGCACCCACCACAGGGGTTCGAACCCAGGACCTTCTGGTTACAAGGCGAGCTCGTAGACCATTGAGCCACTGGGACCCGCTCCAATGGTTCTTGAATTCTAACTTCTAACAGTTCACGACATAGCGCGACCACTTCGTATGCATGGTATTTATGGATTTGATAAGTCTTACTGCAGATTTAGTCACAAAAGAGAATCACTAACAGCTGTTTCGTCTCAGTTGCAGACTCTTCTTCAGGGTACGCAAAAGACTTCAAATAAGATTGAATCTAAGGTCTTCAAGTTACAGTACTGGCCCATTTACCTAATTGTGATAAGTTACAGTCAGCAGACACTCGCTTCACCCCCGACATGGTGAATTCTACTGGTCATCACTTCTCCAACCTGTTGTCATTAGTTAGTATCAGTTCCTAAAGGAACACAGGTCTTCAGCAACACCTCCCCATTGCGTTCGCTTCTCCACCAAACTTTTCATCCTGCTCTATGTCTGCCTACATGCTTTCATCTCTTCTCTTCACATTACCTGCTTCATGTCACACTCGAACTGACGACAAATTAGCACGCACCTCACCGATCGGGTTTCACTCGAGTGATGGCCTGCACTGTGTGTGATGTAACTTGTTTGATGGTTTATTTTATCAGAGTATGACCAATCCACCCCCATTTCTTCCTGCATATTTGTTGCACAATTGGTTCCTGCTGAATTGGTTCACTCATTACCCGAGATCCCTCCCTGATGCTCATCTTTTCTGGCCGGCCATCTGATCTTGAGTAGTATTGAGCGAAGACGGCTGTTGATGAGGGTGTGTAGTTTGTTCAAAGTTCCCTGCGTGACGCGGTGCAGCGCGCCGCCAAGTCTCTGATCCATGCAATAGCACTGACTTCACATTGGAGATGAAAATTCAGATCTTGTTTTTCATTCTGAGTTCTGTTGACCTTCACACAGACTTGAAAGAAATGAAGACTCTCCCCGCCTTCCCAATCCTCACTTTGAGCATCAGATTAGCACTCAGATTTTCATGTTTGTACGGAATTCCAAAGGAAAAGGAACAGTGTCAGGATCTTCAACAAGAGTGCTGAGTCACTGCCCCTTTAAGGTCTAGCCAATCGGAACACCGTGGCTTGCTGCAGACTTTATCAATATCCAACCCCTTAGCTTCGTATCCAAGATTGGCTGACAACGAAACAAGTAGTAAAACACCGCCCGAAAAATGTATAGAAAGGAATGAAGATGGACTGATGGACTATTGACTGAAATCCAGTGATATGCCTTCTAATGGAACCAGAATGAGAAGTCAGCGGTGAGTTGTGAGTGGATCTGAGGGTGATATCGGGTAGATCATTTGAAGTGATGATGAAACCTTATGAGTAGTCGTGGAGCCATCTGCAAATAACTTCAAAGAATAGAGTGAAATTAGGATGTACTGCTAGGACCAGAACCCAGAAGAATTACACTAATTTCAGGAGTTTGACATTAAGTTATTAGAACTACTCATAAGTAGTAACATTGCCGAAGAAAAATTTCTCGGGGTAGGAAAGAAAACGTCGATAGTAAACTGAAGCTTACTTCTCCAATTAAATATTTTATTGTATCCCATGAAATGTCTGTTTTTGTTTCAAATGATTTTGTTAAAGAAATTTGTAAAATTCTTAGTGAAACAAGAAAATCAGCATCAGAAAAATCATAACTGACATTCCAACCCAATTTTCCATATCGACGTCTTTCTTGTAAAATAGAGTGTAAAAATACCAAAGTATATAAACATGCACGATAATTTGGATGTGGACAATTGACATATTCTTCATGCGACAATTTACCCAAACCTGATGCCAAGTTTTGTTTTAATCCACTCGGTGGTTGCATAACAACCTAGAGAGAAAATAATTGAGTAAAGAGTAAGTATAATATTTATAAATAACTGAATTTTTTAAAATTTTATTTAATTCCTTTTGGGTTCCAAGTGGAACATAGGGCTTCAAGCTTCAGCTTTTAAGTTTCAGTAGCAATGATGTTTGTTAACGGGATTGGGATTCTAGCCCCACATTCAGCCTTTCCTCTTTGTCAGGATTACAACCAACCAAGTGAGGTGAACCATCGACGCTGACCGCTAGGCAACATTTTATAACAGTTCTCCACACCAGAAATCAGTGACATGAAGTTACGTCGATTGAGATGGCTAAGGCACGTGTTACTTCTGATAATTCATTGACTTTTTCGGTGAGTAATGTTAAGTGAAACAGGATTAGGTGAGAAGAAAGTAAGGGGTGGTGAAACTAAAACATACCCAACGATCCATGAAGCCTTTGACTATTGATTTTGAAATATAGGGAATCTGTCTAGGATACTCTGGATGTTAGGAATCAATAGAGGGAGACCCTTTATGACATGACTGGATATCTTTATTAATTTTCGTAATCTCAGAGACTTATTAGTTATTCATTATTCTCCATGTTTATTTTCATAGCCTTTATGCATTTCTTCTTTTTCTCTGTCTTAATGTGCACTTTCACGGATCCGGGTAACTTGAATTCATGCAGTTTAGTGTATAGCTGACTATCGATGAAAGAGCGGGTGTACTGCTCACCAGTCCGCTCCGTCCTCCTTCATGGCCAGCTGTGAGACCTGGCTATTGAGAGTGGAAGACATGAAAACATTAACTGTCTTTGATCGTAGGTGCCTGCGTTCCATCTCCCGTGTGAAGTGGTAGGTGTAATAGGGTGAGCAATATTGAGGTCAGGCACCGGTCGAGTGCTAGGTAAGGAGGGGAAATCAATTGACGAGGTTGTGAACCTATGTCGTCTGAGATGGTTAGGACATGTGTTACGTATGCCTAGTCATCGCCTTCCTCGACGGGCAATGTCAGTTGACATAGGGTCAGGCTGGAAAAGAGCTAGTGGCGGTCAAACCAAAACATGGCTTCATCAGTCAATGAAATCCACAACATTTAGTTTAGGCCAGTCACGTAGGGAGGTGTAGACTGGCTTCCTGGTTGGGATCCTCAGGACGGTAAAAACCAATGGCTGGGAACAATTGGTGACATGGCTCACAATCGTTCTCAGTGGCTGGCGCAGATGAATTCACTCCTTGTGACTTATGATTTCCAGTGAAACTATATTGTTCTTCGTTATTACTATTCCTTTGTCTCACTCCTCTGTTTACTGTCTCTATTATGCATTTCCTCTACTTTCTTCTGTTGCTTTGTGTGCTACATCGAGTGTGGCGACTTGAACTGGCGCACATCGATGCAAAGTTCTGTGTCGAAAACAGACAGACAGACAGATAGCTGACGCTGAACATCAAGTATTTTCTTATGTTGTTTATGCAATACCTTTAGTGTGAATGAACTGTCTGTCTGTTTTCAACACAGAACGTTGCACCGATGTGCAGCAGTTCAAGTTGCTACACTCCATGTAGCACACAAAGCAAAAGAAAAAAGTAGAAGAAATGCACAACACAGGCAGTAAACAGAGATGTGAGACAAAGGAATAGTAATAACGAAGAACAATAAAGCTTTATTGCGTATTAGAAGTCACAAGGAATGGTTGCGTCTACGCCAGGCACTGAGAAAGATTTTGAGCCATATCACTAATTGTCTCCAGTCATTGATGTTTACCGTCCTGAGGATCCCAACCAGGAAGCCAGTCTACACCTCCCTACGTGACTGGTCTAAACTAAATGTTGTGGATTTCATTGACTGATGAAGCCATGTTTTGGTTTGACCGCCACTAGCTCTTTTCCAGCCTGACCCTATGTCAACTAACATTGCCCGTCGAGGAAGGCGATGACTAGGCATACGTAACACATGTCCTAACCATCTCAGACGACATAGGTTCACAACCTCGTCAATTGATTTCCCCTCCTTACCTAGCACTCGACCGGTGCCTGACCTCAATATTGCTCACCCTATTACACCTACCACTTCACACGGGAGATGGAACGCAGGCACCTACGATCAAAGACAGTTAATGTTTTCATGTCTTCCACTCTCAATAGCCAGGTCTCACAGCTGGCCATGAAGGAGGACGGAGCGGACTGGTGAGCAGTACACACACCCTTTAGTCGAACAAACTACTCTAGCTAGTACACTTGCAATAATTACAGTTAATAATTTTAATTAAGGCTCCTAGAAACTTTGTGCACTAAAGAAAATTGATAAACGCGATAAGTACGTTAAGAGTACTTCGTGTTTACCAATATCACAACTTATTATTCAGATCAGAGTGGAGTTATTATTGTTTACTTGTACGGAGAGAATTCGTCTAGCTGAAGCTTCAATTGATATTCGGTATTATATTAGACTTAAATAAAAATATATTACTAAAAGAAATAACTCAAGATGTAAGCATTAATAATTATAACATTATGCGTCACTGGCTCAACAGTAGAATGCTGGCCAGTCAGGCAGGTCTGACCAATGCATTCCTTAACCTTTCAGAGATTAAGAGCCGATAGTAAGCCTGAGCATAAAGTAACACCACTGCTACTGGAATTTCCTAGCTTGAAATACGAAATTCCTCTAGGAAATCAAAGGTATGAAATAAAAAAGAAATTATAGTTATAGCATTTTCAAAGGGGCCATCATCAGATACATTTGACTCGCATGAGACTAACAGAATGAAGTTAGGCTTAGTTAAGCCTATGAACAGGAGAGTGTACAATTATATTCATTTATCCGAAATTTCACATTTAGAGTTCTTGTTATGTGGTTTATATACTTTATATTCCAGAACCAATTAATCTGTGCATTCGTATATAAAGAATGAGGGTGTGTCTCCATTTGTACAACATCATACCGTGTGAACTGAGGATGCTTAGCCCCCCATCTAAGATGACTTTCGAAATCATATACAATATTCGACAAAACTTCTGGAAAGGAACTGAAACATTAGCTAGCTAAAATTCAAGCCAGCACTATATATTCCAAAAGTTCAACCTCTGTCTTTTCCATAGCTGTCAATAATCAGCTTGTTATACTAACTTACATCGGATGCACGGATGATGAGCCCAACCTCTAATGCTTGAGTATATATATATATATACTCAACCACACATAACTCAGTTGATGACTTCATCAAGAAGTAAAGAAAATTTCTTCATTGCTGCTACCCTGTTTTGCAACTCCTTACAACCTAGGACACAAAACCCTGATGGCCTTACAGTAAACAAACTTTAATTGAACCACTAATTTGAGATCCAGTTGTTACTGTTCCCTATCTTTGAACAGACACTTTGATATATATATATATTACAAACATCGATGAGCATATGCTGACTTCACACAGCTTCTTATTACAACTACAAAAAAAAACAAATATTTACTTCAAACTGGTCATCAGTCAACACTAGATTGTTAATCAGTTGAAGGGATTATGGGAAATACATCGAATCGATCACATATGTGGACTGGATTATATAGAACAATATATGTAGATGGCGAGAAGAAAGGAATATGTTGTACTAATAAGAAGACTATAAAAGATCTGGATTTCGCTGATGATCTATGTCTGACGTCACACAAACCTGGAAACATAGAGACGAAACCAACAAACTGGCAGAAGAAGCAACAAAGAGAGAACAACAAGTTAACATAGAGAAGACGGAGATGGGGAAAATAACCAACCATCTTCTAAAATCAGTTCGGAAATTTTCCTCCCTCAGTATAAACAACAAATTTCCGATTTTCAAAGCCAATACTAATTCAGTTCTATGTGGCTCAGAAACTTGACACCAAAACATCACCAGAAACATTTCCAACAGACAGTTGTTGACTTTTATCAATAGTTGCCACCTTTTCTGGCTTCATACGAAAAATTAAATGGTCAGAAAGGATAAGCAACAAGGAACGAACCAACCAAGAAGCTATTGCTCACAAAATATGCCGAAGAAAGGGAATATGGTCCGGGCACACGTCGCGCAGACTATCGGGTGACAGACAACACATGCCAAGCCCTGAGTTGAGTATACGACGATAGCATAGAGGAGATCGTGTGAGCAGGATCTGAGGGCTGATGAACAATCGTGAGTTCACCTGAAGAAGACTGCAGAGAACAAGACGAAATGGAGATGACATGTTGAAGACCTAAGTTCCACTAGAAACCCATGGGAATAATACTCAATTATATTTATACCTTGAAATAGTCAAACAAAAGTAATATAATGAAAGTAAATAAAATTCACTCACTTTAAATGATCTTTGTAATATTCCAATTGGAAAATCGTAAACCATTTCAGTTGTAAGCCATACACGAAAATCTGGATGTGGTTTCGTTAAATCATCAATCATTTTTTCTAATGTTGGTATAAATCCTACTAATAAATGACAATTTTGTAATAATAACCAATTTCCACGTGCTGCACATTGTACAAAAAGACTTTGAGCATGCTATCAAGGGATAATTAAATTTTAAAAAATAATATTTTTAGAAAATACACTGTAAGAATGAAATGAACACTTAAACTTCATTTGTAAACGAACAATTATAAGCATAACAATATAACAAAGAATTCATTTGGTTAACGCTGAAATGAAGGATTTGAGTTTCTCTCTATTCAAGACTCATCAGTCTGATGGGCTTACATCTCAAAATGGTGGCTTTTATGATTCAATATCCAAGTGGCAATGGATTTGATATTTGAAACGATGAGCACAGAGTCTGAGTCTCCATGGCAACATTATCACTCATTAAGGTTGCAGATACATCCAACCGACGAGTCCTAAGTAGGACAAAACATGAGTTCTAGATTCCTCTGCAAGCTGAATATCATATTAAATTGAAAATCATTGTCTCCTTGAATCCGCCTTCCTTTCTATGTTCAATTGCATAATAACCGTAACTATATAAGCTTATGTTTAAAAATGTGATTGTACAGCCTTTGACAATGAAGTCATCAAAAAGATATTTTCTCCAAGCTTCCTTATTCAGACAGGTGTTTTGCTCATTTTGGAATGAACTCATCCACAGAGTATATAGACAGCGGGCAACGATGAAACAAGCATAATATGGACCCACAAAAAAAACTTGGAGGATCTGGATTTCATCGATGATACATATCTGATTTCCCACAAACTGGAAGATATGCAAGTGAAAAGCAACAAGTTGGCAGGAGAAGCATCCAGAGAAGATAGGACTTCCTTGAGGTGAACATAGATAAAACAGAAGTAGGTGATAAAGATTCCAGATCCACAGCAACAGCAACAACAACAGACAACAACCAGCCGGTATAAATGGGAGGAATCTGAAATAACCAACCTCCTTCACCTACCTACATACCTGGGAAGCATCGTTTCAACTACATGCGGACGGAACTGATGAGGACATCATCAAGGCGAGTATCAATAGAGCAAGGCAAGCTTTCATTTCTCTCAAGTCCGTATGGAGGTAAACAGCACTAGGCATGAAAAATGAGATGTGGACTTTCAACTCCAATGTAAAGTCAGTGCTACTACATGGATCAGAGACTTGGCGCCACGCCGCGCCATGTCATGAAGGACTCTTCGAACAAATTATACACCCTCATCAACAGCTGTCTTCACTCAGTACTACTCAAGATCAGATTGCCGACTAGAAAACATCAGGAAAAGGGAGGAATCTCAGGTAATGAGTGAACCAACCCATCAGGAACCGACTGTGCAAAAAATATGCAGGAAGAAATGGAGGTGGATTGGCCATACTCTGATAAAATAAACCATCAAGTGAGTGACATCACCCGCAATGCAGGCCATCACTCGAGTGGATCCCGAATAGGAAGGTCCATGTTAGTTGGTCGTCATTTCGAGTATAAATGGATGTGGACATTCAACGTTGGTTCATTAGCCTTGATCGCCGTTGGTGGGCAACTCGAAGGTGTGAATGATTCAATCGTGTACAAGTTGGAAGAAGACGAAAGAATACGAATAAAAGTACTATACATTCATTGGAAAACACTTGTTTATAGAATTTGTACGAAATCTCGATTTTAATTGCCGAACAATGCAACTTATTAGAAATTCTTGTGTTTTGGAGTTAAAGTCGATAATCGTTCATAGTAATCATCGGTTCGAGAGTCTTCGGAGATCATAAGAACTTAGGGTTAAGTTCCTTGACATCGAGTGTGACATGGAGGAGGTCATGTGGAGTGGAGATAAAAGCCTGTGGGCAAACATTGAGGCAGGTGAAAACGTTGGTGAGAAAGCAAACGCAACGGAGACGTGCTGTTGATGCCCTATGTCCCTCTAGGAGTTAAAGGAAACAGTAATAGTAATAATAATAATACAGAATACCTGCTTACACTCAGCTCAGAGAATCTAATCCCTTCAAACCACCCAAGTTCTGGCCAGCTGTTAGAGTGAACAGGTAATACATAGAGTCAAATTTGTCATTTGCTAATTTCAAATTTTCAGGTGAGAAATAACTACGATTTCTTCTGGGTATCGAAGGTATTGATCCATGACAATATGTGATCAGCTTGATAACATAAATGGCAATCAAGAAAGGATTATGTTTGACGTAAACAGTTTTGAACTACTTATTTCATTCAATCAGTAGTATATATGTGTGTGCATTTAGTTTTAATTTTGTAAATAATTGAACGTATATTTAATAGTACGACGTTTTTAACGAAAACTTCCCCATTTTGAACTAACGTAAACCATGCCTGAATATAATAACTCCACTTACCGGCTCTTGTCCTTGACCCATTGAAAGATATTTAATACGAGATGCACTGAATTCTAATGAATGTGCCAGCTGTGACAATTGACTTTGTGGATCCGATCCAGGCTGAACTATTAAAACAACTGGTATAGTTGGTGAAGTTGAAGCTAACACATCAGCTAAATTAGTGATTGGTGGTGTAATATACTGTTTCCCGATTACCTGGACAACATAATTTGTTACAGCTGATGGGATACGATCCATACGCCAACATCGAATAAGGCAAAGTTTTAAGAATGGACTTATATTAGCATAACGACCAGGGAATGTTAATGATTCTGGATTGTTGGCTTCATACCACTTGATTGATATAAGAGAATAATGAAATAAATTAGTATCTGTTTTAAAGACAGTAATCGCTAAAGACAAATTATATATATTTTTTTATTATATCCTATATTATTACTGTTATTTCTTTGGATTCCGAGTGCAGCACAGGTCTCCTGTAGCACATCTATATTTCACTCTGAAGTCTTTTTTGAGCTGAATTCACAATTGCTCATTAGCCCCCGATTCCTCCTCACATGATCTCTTTCATGTCATCTTCTGATGCTCAAATCGTCATCTACCGTTTGAGTTTCTCGACTGTCTCTTCAACGTGTGTTAGATCTACCTCCATTTTTATTATGCCTAATCGTTTGGTGATAGGTTGTTGGTTGATTCACCGCGCTGCCAGATTTATTTTTGACTTATTCTTATTGAATATTCCATGTGGAGTGAAGGCACCTGATGGTAAAAGTCTGAAATAACCTGTTCGAAATGCATTTGATGACGCGCAAACCAGGTCTCTGAACTACATAAAGCATTGGCTTGTTTCAGACTGTGTGAGTTTTGCTTTACCGATCCTAGAACGCTTTTGATGTCCTCATCTGTGCCCCTTGTGACTGAAATACATCCCACATAACTGAAACAATTACCATATAGCGCTTGAATTCCACTGCCCCATATTTTTAACACCATAATCTTGAAAATATGGGGTGATGTGTAAAACGCGCTTCAGTCAGTTGTATATGTAGGAAAATAAACACCAACCCTGAGAAACAGACAGTATGACCATGCCAATAGCGCAGTTTGTAATGCTGTGACAGTTTAATCAATCAATGTTATATTGGAATCTTTGTGAGAACATCATCACATTATTCTAGTAATTCTCCAGAAAGTCAAAACGGGCCTTTTTATTTAATATAGGTTTGATCACAAGTTGGAAAACCAGACAGTACTGGACAGTTCTCTAGTCCTAGTTTATACTCCTCAACAGTAGAAACCTAGCACCTAACAGTTACAAGACGAGTTCATAGACCATTCAGACACGCTTTATAAATGTTCATACAAATGGAATGAATGTTCAGTTTATGTTCAATAATGGTTTTTATAGACAAGTTGATGGGGTAGCCATGGGATCACCTTTGGGCCCTTTGCTAGCGGATATTTTCCTGATAAAGCTTGAAAATGGTCCACTCAAAGACACAATTAAAGGGCTTGACTAATATTGTCGATACGTAGATGATACCTTTATCGTTTGTAATAGAAATCTTAATAAACAAGAGCTTCTGAATACCGTTAATAGTGTTCACCCAACTATTCAGTTTACATGTGAAGAAGAAGACGATAACAGTTTACCTTTCCTAGACGTCCTACTTACCATGAAGACAGACGGATATCTACAAAGGAAATTATTTAGAAAGAAAACTTGGACGGGTCAGTACACCCATTTCCATAGTTTCACACCGATTCAGCATAAAAGAAACTTAGTTAAGTGTCTTAGCTACAGAATACAACGAATATGCTCAGAGGAATGCATTAAGGAACAAATGCATAAACTAAAACTCACACTGCAGGAAAATGGATATCCACAGAGCTTCCTAAAAAAGTGTATGTCAATACCTATAGACAGGGTAAAGGTGGATACCGTAGACAAGAAACCTTTGTATCTTAAGTTAAGTTACAAAGGGGAAATTGCAGCTGACATTCTAAAGTGTCGACTCAATAGAGCAATAGATAGAACATTTCCCGCAGCTAAACTGGTACTAAACTCCTCAGCTAAACCAGTACTCACACAACAAGTAAAGGATAAATTACCAAAGATGGCCTCATCAATGTGCATCTACGAATTCAACTGTTAATGTGGAGCTAGTTACATTGGCCGTACTCAGAGGGCTTTATCCTTGCGCGCACGAGAGCATGTACCTGTATGGTTGAGTAAAGGAGTAACCAAAGGTATAAATAGTGCAGTCCTAGCCCACTTGGTAGATACTGGACACCCGATAAAACCTGACCAAGCGTTCTCAGTTATTTAACGCGTTCCTAGTAATTTATGTAGAGGAGCTCGACTACGTCTCCTATCAGTAGCTGAAGCGGTTGCAATTAATACCAGAAGACCATCCCTCTGCATACAGAAGAAGTATGTTCAACCTCTATGTTTACCTTGGCCTACAATAAAGCCAACAAATCCTCCATTAACACTATAAATTCCCTCACAATTTTCTTTTCTTTTCCTTCTTCTATTCCTCTGTTTCATTGACAATCGTTCATTTTCGACTTTTATGATTTCATGACCTTTCTTATGATTTTATTACCTTAGGTTTAAATAGTGCTTTTCTAACTTGCAATCGTATTTACAAAATCCTGTTCATTCCGCTTCATTATGTTCATTATTATTATTTGACAATCATTCACCAATAGTACTTGTAATTTTACACCATATCATCGTTATTATTTTACAGTCATTCTTATTGTCGCTATCTTCAACCTTGAACTTATGTCTAGACCACCCCATTCGTTGGTTTATTTTCATATTGTCTCACACACCCTGATTACACTCACTCTTGAAACCTGTATTTTCTGTTAACTATATTTATGTATATACACACATCATTAAATTAAATTATTTCATCTCATTTTGTCCCATGTTGTTATTGACCATGCACATTGAAAAAATATATGATTATTGTTTCATCCCATCTTATACTTGTTCCACAATACACTTTCTGATATGATTCCAATTCGCCTTTACTGGCTATTATATGCTTACATTAATGGATTTATAATTGTAGAGCCTGAAGAAGAATTTATTGAAAACCACTGTTCGCTCTAAATATTTTGTTCTGAATAAATTATGGGAATATTTAATTTACTAAATGGAAAATTGATTTATATAAACGAATCATTGACCCAAGCAGGTTAGTCAAATAATTACTTAATCAGATCCTAGTCGTAGTAGTTATTCCTGTAAATAGGGATGTGTTGTGAATGAAATCAATACCACTGCTGACAGTAGTATAACAAGTTATAAGTAGTACTGAGTGCAAAATTCATTTCAGAAAATGCAACAATCTTGAACGTGTAGTCAAGATTTGACGGAATAGTTCTAAAATATTCGGGCGCCGAGTGAGAAGTAGACATTTGTATAAAATGATATTTGTAAAATCTCACCGATATTGAAATGAGTAATTCCAACATTTCCAGTGTTCGGCAATCTGGTCTGAACTTCTTCAGGGAAATTAATCGAAATTAACATAACAGAGGTTTATATATAAAATGGGGACATCTCTTGTTTTTAAAAACCTTGTCCAATCATGAGACATAAAACAAGTATTAACAAGTATAATAAACAAAATTGTACGAGTTGTGATCAAAATTTGACCTCAGACTTACAAATATTGATCTACCTTTGTTAAACACTTTAAACACAGTGTGTATGTGTGCGGATAAACAGTTGTAATGGACAACGTCCCAAATGGCGATATCAAAATCCTGATGGGCGACATGAATGCGAAGCTGGGACGAGACAACACAGGAAGAGAACTCACCATGGGTCGTCAGGCCCTCGGTGAAATGAACGACAATGGTGAGCTCTTCTCAGACTTCTGCGCCTTCAATGATTTGGTGATTGGCGGTAGTGTGTTCAAACACAAGGATATATACAAGACGACATGGATTTCACCAGATGGAAACACCAAGAATCAAATAGACTTCATCTCAATCTCAAGAAAGTGGAAACGGAGTCTACTGGACATAAGGTCAAGGAGAGGAGCAGATGTGGGTTCAGACCACTATCTAGTAGAAGGGACTTTCAAGGTGAAACTAAAAGCCTCGAGGATAGCTGGGGATAGGCCACAATGCAAGTTCAACACTCAATTACTGAAGGACACAACCACAAAAGACACCTTCACTGCAACTGTCAGAGTAAAGCAGGAAACACTACGCGACAGCACTGAAGAATCATGCGTGGAAGAATATTGGAAGTCTCTGAAGGTGATTCTCAACGAAACGTGTTCAACGGTTCTAGGAAGAAAGAAGAGACAAGACAAGGAATGGCTCTCAACGGACACTTGGAAATTAATAGAAGAGAGGAGAATGGTGAAAGAGAAAATGATTCAATGCAAGGACGGGCAGGAGAAGGAGACGATGAGCTCAACTTATAAAGCATTGGGCAAAGAAGTGTTAGGAAGGACAAAAGACAATTCAACGACAATCTAGCTACTGAAGCTGAAAAGGCGGCAGGAAAAAGGGACCTGAGGACACTATATCAGATAACCAAATCTCTATCCGGGAAGAGATCAACACAAGCGAAACCTATAAAAGACAGCCAAGGGAAGCCCATTACCAAGGAAGAAAAACAGATTAAACAATGGGCGGATCATTTCAAAGGACTCTTGAACCGACCATCACCTGCAACCCGTCCAGAAATACCAACAACAGCATGTACACAACTGCAAGTTGACACCGACCCTCCAATGAGAGCTGAAGTCTTGTATGCAATCAAGCTTCCGAAAGCTGGAAAGGCAGCTGGACCAAATGGAATACCCCCTGAAGCACTGAAAGCGGACCCAGAGACGACAGCAGATATGCTGACTCCATTATTGCAAAAGGTTCGGAAGGAGGGAAAGGTGCCTACTGACTGGAGAAAAGGTTAACTCGTGAAACTACCAAAGAAGGGCGACTTACGCCTCACTCTGCAAGAACTGGCGAGGAGTCATGCTCCTATCGACGCCAAGTAAAATCCTGAGTCGCATCATCCTGGAGAGAATAAAGGACGCACTGGAGACAGAACTCCTACCTGAACAAGCTGGATTCAGGAAAGGCAAATCATGTTCTGGCCAAATTGCAACTCTACGCATCAACATCACAGAACAAAGTATGGAATGGCAATCAAACCTCTACCTCAACTTTATAGACTTTGAGAAGGCCTTCGATGGCGTTGATCGTGAAGTAATTTGGAAACTACTCCAGTACTACGGCGTACCCCAAGTATTCATCAACCTTATTCAACAGCTGTACGACAACGACATATGTCAAATGATCCACACCGGAAAACTCAGCGAGGCGCTCGGAGTGAACAAAGGAGTCAGACAACGGTGTTTATTATCTATCACCAATGATATTCCTAATTGTGGTGGACTGGATTATGCGTCAGACTGTGGCAAACGAGAAGACAGGAATATCCTGGACCGACCGACGTGAAGAACCTAGAAGACCTAGATTTCACGTGTGGATGATTTATGTTTGATGTGACACAAAATCGAAGACTTACAAGCGAAAACCGACAAACTGGTCGAAGAAGCAGATGGTGAAGACAGACTTCCAGGTGAACATAGGTGAACAAGACGGAGGTTATGAAAATAACCAACCAACAACAGCAACATCCAGCATCAATCGCCATCACAACGGGAGGGATTTGAAAGAGGTTACTTCATTCACTCACTTATCTAGCTAGGGAGCATTGTCTCAAATACAGGCAGTCGGAACGGACAAGGATAAACAGTTGTAAAACAATGTCTTAACGTCTCCATAAGTAGATATAGACAGTCGGGAACTTTGACTAAGTATTATTAGTTAGTGATACAGTGGTGTGAACACAGGCAGTAATTTTGCTCGAAATATTACCAATAACAAAACTTATCATTGTGTGTAAACTATTGAAATATAATTATACTTTATTTGATATCCATTCTTATTTAGTAATCAGGATTTCCTATGCGTCATCTAACATCACACCTTCATGTCTGTTCAAACTGTTAGTATCTAGAATTTTAAGATTATACGTATTTTCAAAATTATGGTGTTTAGGGCTAGATTAGTGTTTAACAAAGGTAGATCAATATTTGTAAGTCTGAGGTCAAATTTTGATCACAATTCGTACAATTTTGTTTATTATACTTGTTAACACTTGTTTTATGTCTCATGATTGGACAAAGTGTTTAAAAACAAGAGATGTCCTCATTTTTATATATAAACCTCTGTTATGTTAATTTCGATTAATTTCCCTGAAGAAGTTCAGACCAGATTGCCGAACACTGGAAATGTTGGAATTACTCATTTCAATATCGGTGAGATTTTACAAATATCATTTTATACAAATGTCTACTTCTCACTCGGCGCCCGAATATTTTAGAACTATTCCGTCAAATCTTGACTACAGTTCATTTGATCGCTATTGTTATGTTTACTGACGTTTCACTATTTAATGCTAATAACTCTGTCAAAGTATTATTAAGGCATTAAGAAGACAAATTTCGCGAGATGATATCATTATCAAATCATTCTATAAAAAGTTCATTTGATCTTACAGAAATGCTAGACACCTTGAACATTAAGGAAAAGGTTATGTGTTCAATTGACATAGAATCTTTATTCACCAATGTTCCCCTTCATGAAACTGTTGATTTCATTTGCGACTATATCACAAGCAACGGGATAAACTTACCTATTCCTGTAACGTACATCAAAGACATCATCTTAATGTGTACAGAAAATATTCGATTCACATTCCAAGGAAAAGCATACAAACAAATCGACGGTGTTGCAATGGGTAGCCCTCTGGGGCCCCTGTTAGCAGATATATTTATGTCGAAATTAGAGAAACAAATGCAAGGTACTCTTGGAGAATTTATGCTGTACAAACGTTATGTAGATGATACTCTTATTATTAGTAATAATAGCAAATCTATTGAAAACTTAATCACCCTATTTAATCATATCCATCCAAATATTCGAGTGACCTCCGAACTAGAATCCAATAACAAACTCGGTTTCCTGGATATTACTATGACTAGGAGAAATGATGGAACGATTCAGCGCTCTATTTTTCGTAAACAGACGTGGAGTGGACAATATCTACATTTTACCAGTTTTGTTCCTATCCAGTATAAACGTTCCCTGGTGAAATGTTTGTTCTCAAGGGCTCGAAAAATATGTACGAGTGACACATTGATGGATGAGCTTCGACATATACATTCAGTTTTACTAGCCAATGGTTATCCAGAAAACTTCATCAATTGTCACGGTAAGGATAGACCACATCTTGAAAAGAAAGCTTCTGTACCAAAGAAAGCTATCTTTATTAATCTACCATTCAAGGGCGACCAGATTATGCAGTTGACAACTCAGAGACTTCGATCAGCCATCAAACGCACATTCTACGCCGCATCTCTTTTTCTCACTTGCCGAACATTTTCGATCCCTGTACCTACGATTAAAGGACGAAATTCTGTGGACTCTACTTCAAACTGTATCTACAAGTTCACCTGCAGCTGCGGTGACACCTATATAGGTAGAACCAACAGAATGTTACAATGTCGTCGAAAAGAACATGTTCCAAAATGGCTAGTAAATCATATCGAAAATCCTAACGCGATTAATCTTAGTAGAAATCCAGCATCATCCATTGCAAAACACTTATTAATGTCAGGTCACAAAATAAATATTAATGACTGTTTCACAATTATTTCACATAACTCTAATTCAAGGTTATTGAAGGTGATGGAAGCACTTTGGATTAATCACATACATCCTAAACTGTGTGTACAAAAATCGATAGACTTCAACCTTCGCCTACCCTGGACTGCATGACCTATCTTAATATGATTGGTCATTAGTATGTACTTTTGTTTTTATTTAACTGAGTAATTTTCATGAACTTTATTTTATCATTGTTAACCATGTTAGTTGTAAAGCGGTTGTAAAGAAACTACGAAATGATATCATCTCGCGAAATTTGTCTTCTTAATGCCTTATTCAAATTTATCAAAGGGACTAATTGTTTTAAAGTATTATTAAATCGGAATTTACAAAATCTCAGCATATGTATAACAAAGAGTTAAGGGGTGAGAAAATAGACTTGAGTCAAGTGAAAGCGACATATTGAAAGTCAAAACAGCAATGAAGATCACTAAACCAAATAACAAAGTACGTCTGTTATGATATCAAAATAAAGTTTGCTAACTTGATCATCGTTTGTCAGTATGGGGTCATTTTTCGTTATCAAGTTGGTCAGTTGGTAAAGATAACAAAATCAACTGTAGATTGTTGGATTTTATCAGTGTGTAAAATTATAAAAGTAGTGTGTGGTTACGTAGTGAACTTGCTTATCACATTCGTGTTGATTTTGTCACTTCATAGGGAAGAGAAGTGTTGTAACCAGGTCAAATTCTGTTTTAGGCCATCACTCCTATTCAGAAAATTTGGATTCCATTTTATATGAAGTGCTTCTGATATTAGACGTTCTTTGTGATTTCTGGAATGCTTTTTTGGATGATGATTTCAATATTGTCAAAATCAACTTTGCGGCCTGCTTATATAGCATAGCATGTAGACGACCTATGGCTGATGATTTTTCAATTTTTTCTAGTTCACCTGGATTTCTCGGTGGTCAAAGAGATACTCTACGGTGTTCATTTCTTCTGATTTTGATTTCCCGCCTTCTCTGCCTCGATAACGAAGATCAGATAGCCGGTCAAAAGGGATAATTAACAAGGAACTCTAACAGAGAACTAGTCAGCAACCTACTTCCCAACAAATATGCCGATGGAAGTGGGGATGGATTAGACATAAACAATGACGAGGACCTGAAATGATATGGCATACCAGACAAGCCATCGATTGGAATTCGAATAAGAAGTGACAAGCTGGACGTGGATCCAAATGTTACATGGAGAAAGTTGTATAAGATGGAAGTAAAAGCTTGGAGGCGGTGATGACATAAAACAGTGTACAATTAGAGTGAGCTGAGGAGGCTTCATATTCCCCTGGAAACTTATGGAATAAATAATAATAATAATTCTATGAGAACAGAATACCAATTCAGAATTTAACTAACCTTTTGCCAAACATTGCCCAAATTACGTATATCTTTGGTCAGTTTACCAAAACGTTTAGGTATAAATGCAGTTAAATAGACTAAATCCCTCCAAACACTTTCTGGTATCCATTGAAATGGTGGTGTATAAACTGTTTCTGCCAGTGATACATTACCACGTATAAGAAATGATAATTCCTTAGGTCGTATTAACTTCTCATCTTGTTGTAAACGAATAGCCAACTCAAAGGATAATAATAATTTATGCTCTTCAAATATACCTAAATATTTTTTTTAAAAACGAATGAAAATAAATTAATATTGGAATCATCCAAATATTTCAATAAAAATTCTAAATTCAAAAAATCTTTCGTCAAGAAATAATATTGAATTGAACTAAACTGTTTGAAATATGTCTATATGAAGAATGGACGACCGATTATGGACCGCCATAGGATAAGTTGAGATGTATAAGAGGGCAGCGTAGATGTTTGCTAATCTTATATCCACTAGCTGTACGACTTCTCCCTGAAACCCTGAAACTTATTCTGTGATGATAACTCCTTTTAGTTTAACCTTCATCCAAGCAATGTTTCTGGCATGCTAAAACCTGCAGGAACATCTATCCCAGCCAGTGTAGTTTGTTGGATCTACGTAATATGCATACAAATCCGACATCGGTTAGTAATTTAAAAATCCCCCTTTCTCAACATGGTGTTATGGTCATAAGCTGTATCTAGATTACTTCATGACTCCACAAACCCAATAAGTCTGTCTGTTTTCGACATAGAACTTTGCACAAATGTGCGGAAGTTCAAGTCGCCACATCCCGTGTAGCACGCGAAGCAAGAGAAGAAAGTACAAGAAAAGCATAATAGAAACAGTGAGCAGAGGTGTGAGACAAAGGAGTAATAAAGAAATACAAAACAGTTTCATTGAAGATCATAAGTCACAGGGAGTGGATGCATCTGCGCCACTGAGAACGGTTTTGAGCCATGTCACCAATTGTTTCCAACCATAGATTTTTACCGTCCCGAGGACCCCAGCCTGGAAGTCTACACCTTCCTACGTGGCTTAGACCAACTGTTGTGGATTTCATTGACTGGTAAGGCCAAGTTTTTGTTTGACCGCCGCTAGCTTTTTTCCAGCCTGACCCTATATCCGCTAACATTGCTCGTCGAGGGAGGCGATGGCTTGGCATACGTAACACATGTCCTAACCATCTCAGTCTTTGTAGCTTCACGACTTCGTCGATTGATTTCCCCTGTTTACCTAGAACTCTACGCCTAACCTCAATGTTGCTCACCTTATTATGCCACTTTACACAGGAAATAGAGCGCAGGCACCTATGATCAAAGACAGCTAGTCTTTTCATGTCTTCCACTCTCAGTGGCCAGGTCTCACTTGCAGCCATAAAGAAGGACGGAGCGGACTGATGAACAGTACACCCGCCCTTTGGTCGATAGTCGAACATCTCGTCTACGCCAGAGTCGGCGTAAACTAACAAATGCGAAACGAGACCCTTGTATTCGTGCTGAGATTTCGTCAGAGATCAGCCCGTTGGCACTGGCTGATGGTACTTCCCAAATAAGTGAAGCGGTCAACGTGCTCTACCACTTCACTTCCTATTTGTAAACTAGGCGTCGATGTAGTCCAGTCCTGTAACATCATCTTGCATTTGGCGGGAGCGAATCGCATGCCAAACATTCGTAGATTGCGGCTCAAGATGTTTAGAAGACTCTGCATTTCGTCAGCGTCTTCGCCTAGAAGGACTATATCGTCTGCATATTCCAAATCAACGAGATTATTCCCCGGTAGCAAGTCAATCCCTGAGTCGCTGAAGTCACCTAGGGTTAAGTCCATTAACACATCTATGATGAAGTTGAATAGAAAAGGAGATAATGGGCATCCTTGACGGACACCACTGGTCGTCATCAGTTCAGATGACAGCTCGCCGTAAGCCCTCACCTGGCTGTATGAGTACGAGTAGAGTGCCTTAATCAGTGCAATATATTTTCTTGGAATTCCCTTTACAGCCAAGCATCTCCAGAGAACTTCTCGATCGACAGAGTCGAATGCCGCCTTTAGGTCAAGAAATATAATGACTGTTGGACGCCGGTAGGAATGCCTATGTTCTAGAATCTGTCGGAGGGTGAAGATATGATCAATAAGTAAGTGAAGAATGTCTGTTCAACGCTTGCATATAAGTAATCATGCGGGTGACTTCATTGTCGAAGAAATTCCTTCTCAATATTTCTATTCTTTTTTCCATTTCTTTTAATTTTATAGCATACAAGTTTGATACCAGTGTCAAGTACCTGCGCTCTAACTAGACTCTTGGTTATTTTCAAAATATTTACAAAGAAAACTGAGGAATGATTCAATTTCAGCTTCTCATCTCTTTTTTTTTTACTTTCAGGGTGGGGTTGGAAGCATGGAAGCAACTTATTTTTATTCATTATTTGCTTTCCGAGTGGAACATATCTGCCTGTTTTGGACGTAGAACTATTCACCGATGTGCAGCAGTTCAATTCGCCATACTCCCTCCTTGTAGCACACAAAGAAAGAGAAGAACGTACAAGAAAAGCACAATAGAGACAGTAAACAGAGGAGTGAGACAAAGGAATAGTAATAACAAAGAACAATATAGTTTCATTTGAAATCATAAGTCACAAGGAGTGAATGCATCTGCGCCAGCCACTGAGAACGATTGTGAGCCATGTCACCCATTGTTTCCAACTATTGGTTTTTACCGTCCCGAGGACCACAACCAGGAAGCCAGTCTACACCTTCCTACTTGGCTTAAAATAACTGTTGTAGATTTCATTGACTGGTGACATGTTTTGGTTTGACCGCCACTGGTTAGCTCTTTTCCAGCCTGACCCGATGTCAGCTAACATTGCCCGTCGAGGAAGGCGATGACTAGACATACGTAACACATTTCCTAACCATCTCAATCGACGCAACTTCACAGCCTCAACTATTGATTTCCCCTCCTTACCTAGAACTCAACCGATGCCTAACCTCAATACCGCTCACCCTACTATACCACATCACATGGGAGATAGAACGCAGGTACCTATGGTCAAAGACAGCTAGCCTTCTCTTCATTGCCTTCCACTCTCAATGGCTAGATCCCACAGCTGGCTATAAAGGAGGACGGAGCGGACTGGTGAGCAGTACACATGTGCTTTGTTTGACAGCCACTCGAATATGACGTCTACTAAGCCAGAGACGGTGTAAACTGGCAGGCATATGCGAAACTAGCCCTCTGTATCCGTGCTGAGATTTCATCAAAGATCAACCCGTTGGCGCCGGCTGATGGTACTTCCCAAATAAGTGAAGCGGTCAACGTGCTCTACAACTTCATTCCCTATATCTAAACTAGGAGTCAGTGTAGTCCAGTCCTCTAACATCATCTTACTTTTGACATAGGGAGCGAATCGAATGCCAAACATTCGAAGATTGCAGCTCAAGATGTTCAGAAGACTCTGTATTTTGTCAAATAGGTCAAATCTTAAAAGGTGAAATGGAACGATAATCAGAGTTTAAATAAATATATCATAAAAGTACGAAGGAGATGGAAGATAAGAAAGGGTGGGAGGGTTTTGAATAGAATTCACCTAGGCCAAGGGAGAAACAAAGGTAGAACAAACTTCTTTTGTATACAAAGACTAGGATTGTTCTCTCGCATTCCCGTAGTTTCTTCTGCTAAGTTCTGATTCCCTTCGAAAGACTTGATGGAATGCGGTAAATAACTTTGAAGGCACTATTTTTTTCCAATCGGTGACCACTATGAATCAAATGAGCCAAAATAGAACTTCTTATAGATTTTATGTGACCTTTTCCGAACCATGAAGGAAGATGCTCATTAATGCGCTTGTTAAACTGTCTAGTTGTTCGGCCTATACAGCTTTCTCCACAGGAGCAACTAAATTTATAGATACACATGGAAGTGGCACAGCTAGGTTGCTTGTCTTTCACTTGAGCAATCAAAATTGGTCGGCTGGAAAATGACAAACAGAGGGTGGCTGCAGTATAAGTCCGTTTTATAGCTCTAGATAATTTCTGATGTACGACTTCGCTAGCCACGTCCACATTAAATTTATTTATTTATTGAATTGTCTACATATACACATATATGCATATACTATCTTTGTTATTCTTATCGCCACCTGCATAAACCTTATTATCAATATTTTGTTATCATTATAATCATCGTTATTAACTACGTCCAAAACATTTAGCACATTATTATTATTATTTGATTCACAAAATGATATGTATCCACATGATGTGTGTTTTGTTTTTGACAGTCTGTTATATTTTGCTATGCGTATATGGATCGATATTTCATTATAACTGACAATATACTTTTGTCTATCCACTAACTAAATAAACATGTATGACCTTGTTATCACATGACATTACAACCAATCATGGTAAGATGACTGTCTATTGGTTCATGTGTATTAGTCATTTCCATACATACTTTTGTACTGTATACTTGTTCTCACGTTTCGCACACTACGTACCATTTGACTCACACTCTTGTGTGACATTTATTTTCCTTGTCTGGAAAATACAAGTATCATCGTAAACCTGGTGGTCTTCTGATTTCTCTCTTTCCGCGTCAGGACTATTAACTACCCGACGAGTACATAACATAATTGGCGACGGGGAAAACTCTAATAACTCACTCAGCAGCAGTACATAACACAAAATAACCGTCATTGGTTAAAAGACTTTTTATATATAAATCTATGTAAATTAGAGTAAAGCCTGAAGAAGATCTAATTGAAAACGATAATATTGTTTGCTTAAATGTCTTGTTCTAATGCAATATCTTACAGTCACAGGTCAAGTCTTTGTTTTTTTATATTTGCGTGGCTCAGTGAATTGGAAGGTACAACGGACAAATAGACGTGTATTAGCGTGCCAGTCGAGTTGATTGTAGTTATAGTAATTAACAGGCGCAGATATAAAGAAAATAGCGACGGGGTTTATTCAGTTGAGATATATCAAAGTGGCAACTGGTTTATTCACAGTTCCGTTCAGTCATAACACCTACAGAAGTACAAACTTGATATTAACGCTGAAACCAATATCTTGTTGATACCAACAGTAAACTTGAACCTGTAAAGAAGTTAATTTTACTGCACGAAAGCGCTTTCTCAGTAATTTTCGGTATATTTTATCTTTCACTGGAATCCTATCAACACAAATACAGCTATCGTATATAATATTTATGATAATACAATTATTACTGAAAAAATAATAATAAATATACAAATAATAAGCCATGAAACACCATTTTGCTTACCCATACATCCATAACAGTATGTTGCATAAGTTAAAGCATTTTTAATATTAGCTAAACGTTTAGGCAATGAACTATTTGGCATTGCTTTTTTCAATGCTTTTACAAATACAGTTAAATAAGCTGACAATGAAAATTGATACATTGGACCAACCAATGATAAATCAGATAAGATAAAGAATAATACGGCGCCTCTTCTAAAAAGAGATGAGGAAATGGCGTACAGTAGATAAAAAAAAATATTGACTGTTACCTTCAAAAGCGTATGATACTCCTATTGAATTACTCAATTCGATCAATTATCAATACTTTCACTATCATGAGTTTACTTGCACATTACTGGCGATTATGAATGGCAGTACACCTAGTGGTTCATAATTTGAATTATTTAGGTGTAATATTTAGAGGACACGCCGTCGGACACTTTAATAACTTGTAATACGAAGGTCAAGAGGTATTTTAACAATGTCTGCCTGTCAGTAGATTGCACAGAGATTATAATTTTTAAGTGATATTTTTTATTTTTGATTTACAGCTTGATTCCACACTGTATTTTTGGTACAAGTATGGAATTTTCAGCATGGATATCGGTAGCCCACATTTTGCAGGCCGACCATAGATATCAGGTGTGCGCCGGCGTGGGCTCGAACCCCGGACCATGTGCATGGTCGGCGAGAGTCCTAACCACTGTGCCACCGACGCACAAACTCGTGGAGGTGGGATTTGTAGGGATTTGGTTGGTTACAGGATTTCATCATGAGCTGAAATTGGTTAGAGAACCACTGGAAAACCTGCAGGGAGTACTGGACAGCTGTTTCGTCCGCCTAGTTTGGAACTCTTCCCAGTAGGCACCCACCGGGGTTCGAACTCAGGACCTTCTGGTTACAAGACGAGCTCGTATACCAATTTTGTTTAATTTTATAATCATAATTTTAATTTTGTTCATTTAATTATAATTATGATTATAGTTTTATTCATATCATGACAGTTTGTTCGAGCTCATACAGTAGTATAAGAATTTACCATCTAAAGTAACGAGAAGCAAATTTATTTCTTAAGGATTTTCAGTACCGCTACTCTTTTTTTGGCCATATCACAGATGACTGTTTGATTCCAAATGAAACAGGGTGGTATAGGAATGGTCTGAACCAAGTCTTATTTTAAGGGTAGGAAGTAAAGTTATCAAATGCATCGACTATTTCATTTATTTGAGAAATTTCAGCAGTCACCATGATGAAAATCTACCACCTTTGTTTAGTACTCACCAAAATGGCAATATTCTCCTACATGAAGTTCAACTTCCACCGAAAGGTGTGTATGTGTGAAGTGAGACTTAGAGTTGCCCGAGTAATGGTTGAAAGTAAAAGACATGAAAAGAATACAGGTGGCTGGCTATGGATGTCATTGTTCAACTATTCACATTAACTGCAACAAAATGATAAGTAACGTTGAGAACATAGGTATACTGCTAGACAAGAAAAGCAAGTGAAGTGATGAGATTATTGATCTTCGTTGATTGAGATCGCTCGTTTATGTGTTACTTATGGTAAGGCTACTGCTTTCTTCAACTCACAGTGTTAGCCAAAATAGGTTGAAAAGTGGTTACGGATGGTGAGAGTTATACATGGAATAAATCCATAAAAATCATCGATTACCAGTTTAAGCTAAAATAAAGAGGTGTAGACTATTTAACTCAGGTCTTCCGACTGCCAACAGTTAATAAACGAATAAACCTGATGAAATCGTTCAAAATTATTCGCAACTACCTAGGTATAATAAATATTTATCATCAAACCTCGAAACAAAATTACTATTTATCGAATAATTTTTCTATTTTCATATATTTTCCACTTTTGTTCCCATTATTCTGCAGACGGGAACTGAGGACATTATATCAGATAACCAAGTCTCTATCCAGGAAGAGATCAACACAAACGAAACCTATAAAAGACAGCCAAGGGAACCAAATTACCAAAGAAGAAAGATAGATTAAACAATGAGCGGATCACTTCAAAGGACTCTTGAACCGACCACCACCTGCAACCCGTCCAGAAACACCAACAACAGCACGTACACAACTGCAAATTGACACCGACCCTCCAACGAAAGCTGAAGTCTTGAACGCAATCAAGCTTCTGACGGCTGGAAAAGCAGCCGGACCAGATGGAATACCCCCTGAAGCACTGAAAGCGGACCCAGAGACTACAGCAGACATCCTGACTCCATTGTTGCAAAAGGTCTGGAAGGAGGGAAAGGTGCCTACTGACCGGAGGAAAGGTTACCTCGTGAAACTACCAAAGAAGGGCGACTTACGCCTCACTCTGCAAGAACTGGCGAGGAATCATCCTTCTGTCGACACCAAGTAAAATCCTAAGTCGCATCATCCTGGACAGATTAAAGGATGCACTGGAGACAGAACTCCGACCAGAACAAGCTGGATTCAGCGAAGGCAAATCATGTTCTGACCAAATTGCAACTCTACGCATCATCATCACAGAACAAAGTATGGAATGGCAATCAAACCTCTACCTCGCTCAACTTTATAGACTTTGAAAAGGCCTTCGATGGCGTTGGCCGCGAAGTAATTTGGAAACTACTCCAGTACTACGGCGTACGGTGCCCCAAATATTCATCAACCTTATTCAACAGCTGTACGACAACGACATATGTCAAATGATCCACAACGGAAAACTCAGCCAGGCGCTCGGAGTGAACAAAGGAGTCAGACAACGGTGCTTATTATCTATCACCAATGATATTCCTAACTGTGGTGGACTGACTGGATTATGCGTCAGACAGAGGGAAGTGAGAAGACAGGGATATCCTGGACCGACCGACGTGAAGAACCTAGAAGACCTGGATTTCACGTGTGGATGATTTATGTTTGATGTGACACAAAATCGAAGACTTACAAGCGAAAACCGACAAACTGGTCGAAGAAGCAGATGGTGAAGACAGAACTCCAGGTGAACATAGGTGAACAAGACGGAGGTTATGAAAATAACCAACCAACCAACAACAACAACAGCAGCCACAACATCCAGCATTGATCACCATCACAACGGGAGGGATTTGAAAGAGGTTAGTTACTTCATTCACTTATCTAGCTAGCTAGGGAGCATTGTCTCAAATACAGCCAGTCGGAACGGACGAGGAGGATGTCAAATCGAGCGAGAATCGGGGAGGCGAGCGAGAAACACATTCATCAACCTGAAACAACCAATCTGGAAATCTTTGTCTCTCAGCCAACATCAACAACAAAATTCGGTCGGATTTTCAATACAAACATCGTCAAGTCAGTCGGTTCTTCTATACGGAACGGATCAGAAACTTGGTGGGCGGGTGGGTCAAAAAGAATATTTCCAACAGCCTGTTGCAGACGTTACCTTTATCAACAACAACTGTCTTCGCTGGATCTATACTGAAGATCAGATCAGATGGCCGGGCCGGAAAGAATCACCAACAAGAAACCATGGGAACAAACAAACAAACAAAACAAGAGGCAATCGCCAACCAACAAATATGCAGGAGAAAGTGGAGATGGATGGATTGGACACTCGCTCTCCGAGGAGGCCTCTGTGTGACATCGTGCGCGTGTCAGGCCATTGCTCGAGTGGAACCAGGCCGAAAGGGTAGCGGCGAGTGGGACGTCAGTGCAAGGGTGACATGGAGAGAGGAGATGGTGTGAAGAGGAGTTGGAACAGTATGGACTAACATGGATGGAGGTGAAGAGAACAGCAGAAGGAAGACAGAAGTGGCAAGTGGAGACGTGCAGTTGAAGCGCTATGTTCCACTAGGAGCCCAAGGGAACGATAATAATAATAATTCTGTAAACACAGCAACTTGAATCAACTAGTTAATTACTTAAGTACACAACTCATTTACCCTGATCCAGTCTCCGTGTACTGGTCTATGAGGCATATTTATTGAAAGCTGATGATGCTACCCAATTACTTGGACTGGAGTAGGTGAAGAAGGATTCAAACCCCTGGATTTAGTGAGTGAAAAATCCAGGAGCAATAGCTTTTTTATGCTCATCTCTAAGTAGACTATTCTCTCTTCCACAACATCAGAAAAGGCGGTAGGTTTAAATGCCTCCCCTCTATGACAGTAATTAAACACACTCTTCATTCTAACCTATAACACTTAAAATTCTCTTTATGTGGCTTGGTGGTGACTAGAAGTGGATTCTAAGATGCACACTTTGTCCATTTTACAACTCGTCATCTGGCTTCTATATCCCTCTTGACTTAGTGAGTAATGCTTTGGCGTTTCAAACGATGGGTGGATGGTTCGAGTCTCGGTGGGAATACCATCACTCAATGGGAATGTTGATATATGCAGATGACGAGTTCCAAATAGGGCAAAATGCACATCTTGGATTATACTACTGCTCCTCAGTCTTTAAACATCATCGAAGCATCCGTACTAGGAGCGACATATCAACAGAGACGGAGCATCTCCATCCAACACAGTCAATACACGGGCAATTCTAAGTTGACCTAAAAATGTAAAGAAATACAGTTTACAATTCACTTTTTTAACACAATAGTAAACAAAGGGCAAGATTTGTATCAGTATATAAGCTTGTAAGAAGTACCAAACATGAAAGAAGATAAAATCAACTAACTAATCAATAGTGGATTAAGTAACAAAAGAATTTACCTTGCAGCTGGACGAAACAGATCTCTTTGACGTTCTACATCTTTAGATATAACTGCAGATTGAGCTAATTGTTTACTAACATCAACAGCTTTATTTTTTGTATCCTCCAAAGTACCAATTAAATCCCAATTATCTAATATATTACCAGTTTGTGTAGCTAATTCTAGCAATAGACGATCTTCTAACTCCTTTAGAATACGTTTATTCTCACTAATTTTTATATATGTAGAAATAAGATAACATTTCAAAACAGAACAGCTTTTTCTTCATCTTTTTTAATGTTGCTTTTAAAAAAAAATGCTGTTAGGATATTTAAACGCACATGACTGAAAGTAAAAGACAAAAGTAGATTTTGAACTTAAATATCCAATTGTATTTGAATTGTCTAGCAATCTGCTTAACATTATTGGTGTGCAGTTGTGACTTGTTGGTTTAGGGGCTCGAATTCAGATCAATGAATCACGAGTTCGAACCTCCCAGTTCACCTGTTGATATGGTATTGCTAGTTCTCAGATAATAGGTGTGATTCACTGTCAGCTGCACAGATGCAAGCGATTGTTGAGCTGTCTCTTTTCACAGTTTAACTATGTATGGGCTGGTCAGGCACTGTAGTACAGTTTAATCCAATAATAGAACATTTTTATTTGATGCAGTTAGGAATACAGTTTTATTTGACCATTAGTTTGATTTATTGCTAAATAGTCTCATTGATATCATTATTATCAGTAAGTGAATAATGGTGTATCACTCTACTTTACTTTTCATCGACTCCTAGCTTAAATACGGGGAGTGAATTGGTATAGTTTGTTGACCACTTCCCTGATCTGGGAAATCTCAGTGAGGATACAAAAAGCTTGTTTATCATTTGCCAACTTAGGCCATCTATGGCGTAAACGTGATATCCGGCTGACTGTCTATCGAAGGGCATGTGTACTGCTCACCACTTCACTCCGTCCGCCTTCGTGGTTGTGAGACACGGCCACTGAAAGTGGAAGACATAAAAAGGCTAATTTTCTTTGATCATGAGTGTCTGCATTCTATCTTCTTGTTAGGTGGTATAATGGGGTAAGTAATACTGAGGTTAAACTTCGAGTATTGGATAATGAGAGAGTCAGTCGATCAGACTGTAAAGCTACATAGATCTAGATGGTTAGAACATGTGTACTACGTGTCCCTAGTCATTGCCTTCCTCAACACGGAATGTTATCTGACATAGGATCAGGTTGGAGAAGAGATATTGGTTGGTGGTCAAACCAAAACATAGAGTCAGTCAATGAAATCCCCAACAGTTAGTTTAAGCCAGCCATCCAGCCACGTGAAGAGGTGTAGACTTCCTGGTTGGGTTCCTTGGGACTATGTTTTAAGAGCCAATCAAGGCTAGAGACAATTGGTGGTGATATAGCTCCAAACTGTTCTTAGTGGCTCAGATGCATTCTCTCTTTATGATGTGTCATATCCAATAAGACTCCTCTATTGATCTTCCATGTCACCATTCTCTTTCCCTCGTAACTGTGTTTATTATTTCTCCTTTGAATCTGTCTTTAATCTCTTCTCTTGATTTATGGGCTAGATGGAGTGTGGCAACTCGAAGTGCCGCACATCTGTGCAAAGAGTTCTACATCGGATCAGGCCAGTGAGTCAATCACTCTGTTTGTTTATTTGTTTTTAAATAAAATTATTCTATTACGGGATTAATGACTTTTTACATGATGATAACTGACAGTATAAGATAAGCTGCTCATAGGATCATGAGTGAACTAGCATTTGAACAGGTTTATTGTTGAATAATTGCTTGTGAATAGCCTATTAACACGTATTATATTATCAGCCGCGGATGATTCATTATTCCAGTACTGGGTTATTGGTTATTTGCCCCCCTGATAACTCACATCAATATGAATATAACATGTTATTAACGAACTTTCATACCTGAAAAACAAGCCTTGTAACATTACTAAAAGGCTGTTAGTATAGGGTGGGAACTAAGCTAACCTTCACTTTTAAATAAGGTTAAAAAGGGATTTACGTCAGTCTGTAAATATGACCATACTGTCAAATGTTATTTGAAATACGTAATTATCCATTCACAATATATATGACATAGAGTCTTTAGGTCTTCAGTTCTTTCAGTTGTTACAAGAAAAGACGTCTGAAATGAGCGTTTATCAACCAATCGAATTTAAATTAGTAAATATTTAGTTTTTTTATAAAAGGAGGTGTTATATTGTGTTCTGCTTATCGCTGTGATACCTACGACACCTAAAAACCCCGTCAAATCAACACTTGAAAATTAATCTACTCTTCCATTAGTGACTAACTACGCGATGAACATCCTGGAACTATACGACAGGTCGTGTTCAATGAAGCCTGCCAAGTCAGAAGTTAAGACAGACACTCGCCAACTACATTTCCTGGAGTGGGGTATTATTATTATTGTTTCCTTTAGTTCGTAGGGTAGCATAGGGCTTCAGCTGTATGTCCCCATTGCGTTCGCTTCTCCACCAACGTCTTCACCTGGCTCCATATCTGCCCACATGCTTTCGTCTCCTCTTAGAATCACCTCCTCCATGTCACCCCACCCTCGCAATGACCACCAACTAACACGCAGCTTCCCATTCAGGTTCCAATCGAGCAATGGTCTGGCGTATGATTTCACTCACTTGATGGCTTGTTTTCTCAGAGTATGGCCAAGCCAATCCAACTCCATTTCTTCCGCCACATTTGTTGCACAAACGGTTCTTGTTGGGTTGGTTCGCTTCCAAAGATCTCTGATGCTGATCTTTTCTGACCGGCAATCTGATCTTCAGTAGTAATGAGCGAAGAGAATTGTTGACGAGAGCGTGTAGTTTGTTCGAAGTGGTCTACTTGACGTGGCGCGGCGCCGTCTCTGATCCATGTAGTTCCACTGACTTCACATTGGAGTTGAGAATCCGGATCTTATTTTCATTTTCATGCTGAGTGCTGTTGATCTCCACATATACCTGAAAGAAATGTGGGCTTGACTGACTTTCCCACTTCTCACTTTTATTTCCTCATTAGTTCCGTCCACCTGTAGTTAAATCGATCCTTCCCAGGTAGGTATGTAAAAGAGGTTTCTTCTTTCAAACTTCTCCCATTTATGCTGATTGTTGTCTGTTGTTGTTGCTGTTGGTGTTGACCAGGTACCTTCATCGCCTCTGTTTTCTCTATGTTCACCTGAAGGAAGTCCTATCTTCTCTGGATGCTTCTTCTACCAACTTGTTGCTTTTCGTTTGCATATCTTCCAGTTTGTAAGAATCAGACATATATCGTAGGCGAAATCAAAACCCTTCAAGTTCTTTGTAAGGATCCATTTTATGCCGGTCTCCTCGTTGCCCGCTGTCCGTCACATTATTCAGTCTACCGCAATCAAGCAGATCATTGGAGATAGTAAACAGCCTTCTCTTACTCCCGTTTTCACTTCGAATGATTATATATTAGTCATGAATTGGCAGAAGTTAGAATTCATGGGCCATCGGAATTGTTAACGAGCTACCCTTGTAACCCTAGAGTTCTGAGTTTGACCCCTTATGGGGTCATAGATGCATACTTCTGACGAATCTGTCCACAATAACCCTATTTCCGATGGTTCTCTAACTGATGTCAACTTGGAATCTGAATCGAAATTAATGAAATTCCTTTGAACAAACATTTGAAAATTAAAAATGGGCGCTAATTATAGCAGTGTAAGCGTAGAATTAAGGTACTGTGGTAAGATTCAAATCCTTACTGGACAAGCTTATCTGATATGACACAGTGATATATTATTGATAACTCATGATTATATCATATTCCTTGAATTTATGACTTTCTTTGTGTGGTCTTAATCCCTTTGTTTTTATAAGTTATTCATTTATCCAGTATAGACTGCGTCGTTTCGATTGCTCACGTTTGGTGTTCATTCGGGGGATAAAGATCCGGACATTAACTCCCGCTAGCAACCTAACTACATTATTAATAATATTAAGGAATTCAAAGCCTCGATATTATCGCCATATAAAGAAGAAACATAAGAGGCCTCAAGTAGGCTTCTTAGTTGAGCTCAAATTGGGTCGGCATTTAAACCAACCAACTCAATCAGTAGTAAAACTCTGTCGTCTTAGGGATCCGATACATCATCCGCCATTCCTATTCAGAAAATTTGGGATAAATTTCACAGGTAGTGCCTCTGAAATGAGATGTTTTTTGTGATTTCTGCAATCTTTCTGAATGATTATAATATTGTCAAAATCGATCTTGAAGCCTGTGTCTATAGAGTGTTGACCAGACCTATGGTTGTTGATCTTTCAGGCTACTCTGGTTTCACTGGATTTCTCAGTGATCCAACAGCTATCGATATCACATGCTGAAAATTCCATACCTGTACCAAAAATACTGTGTGGAGTCAAGCTGTAATCAAAAATATTAAAAAATATAAATATAGAGACTCTGTGGCGTTCACTTCTTCTTATCTTGATTTTTCACCAAATTTGTCCAATGCATGTAACATCACATTTAAATCATTTTATTTTATAGACATCAATTAGACTGTGAATCGTTTAGGATTCCGTCTTTTACACAGACACTGTTGTTTTGTTTAGTATGTCTGATGTTTTGAAGAAAACTGTGACGTTGTGTTTATTGAGTACCCCTTTGATATTGTTTGACGCTTCTTACCTATATGGAATGACAAGTACTGGGGTCAATGTTTTCGAAATACTTTTTCGGCCATGTTTAATGTTGCTGATTTTGAGAATAAAACCATTTGGGTAGTTACGTCTCTTTGGAATTTTTTAAATATATTTCACATTTTCCTCTCTCTCTCTCTCTCTCTTACGATCTAAAAAGACTTGAAACAATTGATACAGCTCTGATGGCGTATGATGATCCGAAGTCTAAATATTGTCCTACAATTTACGCCTTCAGGTATGATATTTGTGACTTTCTGTATACTCTAATCGCTTAAAATACTTTCGCATTTATTTATTTATATTTATTAGTAGCCTTTGGAGTTAAACTCCAAAATAGGAAACGACAAGTTCGGTGTAGGTCCCAGGATGACATGGAGGAGACTTTGTGAGGAGAAGATGAAAACTTATGAGAAATTGTGTAGCCAGCTAAAAAAAGAGACTGAAGAGAACAGGATGAAGTGAAGATGTGCCGTTGAAGCTCTCTACGTTCTACTCGGAACCCAAAGGAAAAATGAAAATGAAAATAATAATAATAATAATATAATCTAAAATGAATGTGTTTTACTTTTCAAGAAATTCATCTACCTTGTCTCCATTATTAACATTTCTCGCCTCTCTTCTAATTCACGATGTTCATGTTTCACCAGGGTACTTAATAGTTGTCCTTCTAATCCACTCATTGTTACTGTATAATTGATAACTAATGCTCGACTAAATAGATTTGCTTGAAATTGTGGATTTGGTAGTTTTGTCATGAGGTATAAACGAAACCCGGGATCATATTCAACTTCACGATCACCAAGCATTACAATATCTTGACCTTTATTATCTAAATGTAAAAATATTGAAATATTATAAAGAATGAAGGATAAATCATGCTAAAGAATAGATCACAAGTAAATAAATGGAGAAGAGTTTATGCCTTATATACTGGATAACAATTTAGGTGACCCAGTGATTTAGGCAAGCCTCTTGACGTAGGTTAAGCCAACGTGTTCGGTACTGAATATCTGACCGTAAATTCCTCTGCAATGACCATCAAAATGGAATAGGATGACACTGTTTATTGACTTGTTTAGTTTACTTAACTTTCACACTACTGTTCTTCAATGTCCCCATTGTAGAGTTAGTCAAGTATATATGAGTTCACTGCCCGCTTAAAACTTAGGCTACTAAAAGCTTCCATCTCTCTCTCTCTCTATTGCATATATTTTCTCTTGTTCGCTTCGTTTTTAATCGATTAAGATATGAACTTGACTGGTATTACCTACTCTTTTGTGTGTGAGTGTATTTAAAATGTTTACAAGACCTGATTGTGGGTGGCGTACGTACGTATCCCAGTACATGAGATAACTGCTCTCTTCACTTGTAATTTTGGGTCTCAAAAGTGTACTTCTTAACTTCTTAAGATTGGCTTTCAACTCGATCCCTATTGTGGATTTCTTGAAGCAGAGACAAAGCAGATATAACATCATAATAAAATGGTTTATGCTTCAGCTCAGAGAGTATTGTGTTACAGAATATACTGCCAATTATTATTTTACTTGCAGATATTATACGAAGGGGAAATATCATGCAAGACTCTAGAAGAACTGGCGAGGAATTATGCTCCTGTCGACGCCAAGTAAAAGCCTGAGTCAAATCATCCTGGAGAGATTAAAGGACGCACTGGAAACAGAACTCCGACCAGAACAAGCTGGCTGCATTCAAGAAAGTCAGGCAAATCATGTTCTGACCAAATTGCAACTCTACGCATCATCATCACACAACAAAGTATGGAATGGCAATCAAACCTCTACCTCACTCAACTTTATAGACTTTGAGAAGGCCTTCGACGGCGTTGGCCGCGAAGTAATTTGGAAACTACTCGAGTACTACGGCGTACCCCAAGTATTCATCAACCTTATTCAACAGCAGTTGATATATAACTGCCAATGCCTCTTCACTGTCCAGTAAATAGAATATGATGACACTGTTTATTTATTTATTTTTTTGATTACACCTTGATTCCACAAAGTACTTTTGGTACAAGTATGGAATTTTCAGCATGGATATCGGTAGTCCAAATTTTTCAGGCTGACCATAGATACCAGGTGTGAGTCAGCAGGGAATCAAACCTCAGACCATGTGCATGGTCGGCGAGAGTCCTAACTACTGTGCCACCGACGCACCGACTTGTTTACTTACTTTCACACTACTGTTCTTCAATGTCCCCAATGTAGAGATAGTTAAGTATATGCGTTGATGGCCTGCTTGAAACTTAGGCTACCAAAATCTTTCATCTCTCTCTCTCTCTGTTGCATATATTTTCTCTTGTTCGCTTTGTTTTAATCTATTAAGATATGACCTTTATTGGTACTATCTACTCTTGTGTGTGTGTGTATTTAAAATGTTTACAAGACCTGATTGTGGGTGGCGTACGTACGTATCCCAGTACATGAGATAACTGCTCTCTTCACTTGTAATTTTGGGTCTCAAAAGTGTACTTCTTAACTTCTTAAGATTGGCTTTCAACTCGATCCCTATTGTGGATTTCTTGAAGCAGAGACAAAGCAGATATATCATAATAAAATGGTTTATGCTTCAGCTCAGAGAGTATTGTGTTACAGAATATACTGTCAATTCATATTTTACTTGAAGATATTGTACGAAAGGGAAATATCATGCAATAAACTCCTCTGAAAATTCTGTACATTTTGGAAGTACTGTTTATTATACAAATTTTGTTAATATTATTAGTTGTGGAAGGAAAAACAAACGGTGGGTTTATACCTGCCCCAAATTGGAAGAACTATCGTCCAGGTGTACGATAAACAAACTGTTCTCTTTGGACTGAATTGAATAATACTACCACCAAAATAGATATTATGGCTGCACAGAACTGAATAATCCAGTCGACAAAAAATATTACGACAGAGTGGTAATGGGTTGTGGTTCGTCTAAGTTAACTACACTCCACCTTCAGACACAACACTATAACCAAACGATCACTTGAAAATATCCCCTCCCCACTGAGACAGACACACCAAAGTTAATCAGTCATGACAACGTTTATTAGACAAAATAAATAGTATGACATATTTGGAATTGATAGTGTTCTCTGAGCTCCTTGGTTTAATTGCGGAGCTTTCATCGTCTTTCTGGACGACATCTTCAGCGCAGTATTTAGGATAAAGTGAAATGATTTAAATTTCTTCATGAGTCTCCCGGTAACCATCTTTAGATATTTATTGACCGTTTTCTATTGATTGGGATTTTAAACTTTCTGATCACCTGATTTACTTCTTATTAGTTGGTATATTTCATCTATATTAACGTGTTTATTAATTGCGTTTTCATTTGAGTACCAGGCTTCTAGGAATTCTCTGGCACATTTGGTGTTTCCTCTGTTTAAGATTTTGACATTATCCCAATCAAATTGATGTCCATGATCGTCTGAATGTATTGATACTAAAGAATTTATATCATGTCTTTTCACGGCTGATTTGTGTTCCTGGATTCTTATTCGAAGGGGACGCCCACTTTGGCCGATGTAATGTTTGTTACAGTTCACACAATTTATTTTGTAAATGGTGTTAATTTTATCTCCCTTTTCTATCGGATCTTTTGGTTTGCATAAGATAGAATTAAGCGATTCAGCTGGTTTGTGTGCTACATCTATATCAAACGGTTTCATTATTCTAGCCGTTATTTCAGAGATGTTTCTGATATATGGTAGGATGAATTGCTTTTTGGTCTTTGGTGATGGTTCTTTGTTGGTGCTTTCATTCGATTTTAAACACTTTTTGATGAAATTTTTTGGATAACCATTCTTCTTGAACACCGTTTGTAAGTATCTTTCTTCCATTCTTTTCAACTCTGGTGTGCTACAATGTGTTTGAATTCTTCTAAACAATGTCTGCACACAGTTTCTTTTGTGAGTAATTGGATTGTTGCTAGTATAGTTGAGTATTTGATCTGTGTGCGTTGACTTTCTGTATACTTGTGTTTCTAAATTTCCTGTGTTGGTTCTCCTGATTAAGACATCTAAAAATGGGATTTTGTTATCTAACTCTTCTTCTCTTGTGAATTTGATGTCTTCAAATATGTTGTTTATTAATTTATGGGTATATTCTAAATCATTTCTCTTAATTATTACAAATGTATCATCAACGTAACGTACCCAGATTTTCGGTTTAATTATAGGTAGAGCTATTAATTCTAATCTTTGCATAACGGCTTCAGCTATTAATCCTGATATGGGCGATCCCATTGGTGCTCCCTTTATTTGCTCATATATTTGAGTATTAAATTGAAAGTATGTTGTAAGGCATAATTTTATGAGTTCTATCCAAGTTGAACATTGCGTTTTTATGTTTTCATCACTATAGAGTAATCGTTGCATAGTTTCTGTTGCTAGTTTTGGACTAATCGAAGTATATAATGCTGTGACATCAAAGGACACCATTATTTCATTGTCTTCTACCTGAATGTTTTTGATTTTCTCTAGAAATTGAATTGACGAATTGATAGAATGGTCGCATGATTCTGTTAGGTAATTTAACTTCCTGAAAAGTTCTCTAGATAGATTATATGTTGGTGTTCCTGGAAGCGAAACGATTGGTCGTAAGGGGATGTTCGGTTTGTGTAGTTTTGGTCTACCATAAAATCGAGGTAAAATGGGTCCGTTAGATCTCATTCGCCATTGATCTTGTTCTGTAATTTGTCCTGATTTCGTTAGTTTATTTAACGTTGTTCTGATTTTGTTATCGAATGTTTGTATAGGGTTTTTTGTCAACTGTTGATATACATTATTATCTTTGAGTAAATCCTCTGCTTTCTTTATGTAGTCTTCTGTGTCCAGGATTACTGTTGTTCTTCCTTTATCAGCCGGTAGAATAACTATATCTTTTCTATTCTTTAGTTTCTTCAATGCATTTTGTTCTTCAGTGCTAAGTTGGGAATTATGTCTTTTCTGTTTGAGTAAAGGTATGATACGTTGACGTATTTCTTGTTGTACTTCCTCATTTAATTTTGATAATTTGAATGATGATTCTAATGAAGCACAAAAATCTGTTACTGAAGCGTCACCAGTATTGTAGTTGAGTCCTTTCTGAAGAAGTTGTTCTTCGGCTTTCGATAATGGCTGTTTCGATAGATTTACTACGCAATCGTTTAGAGTTTCTTCAGATGGTTGTTTGGATATCTTAGCTAGTTTGTCTCTGAGGAAGGCTCGTCTTCGCTCCTTGTGCCGTTCGCTTATCAATTTAATGGCAGTATTTAATGTTGACAGATGTTCTGGGGTAAGAGTATGTTCAAAAGTATGTCAAAATCTTAAACAGAGGAAACACCAAATGTGCCAGAGAATTCCTAGAAGCCTGGTACTCAAATGAAAACGCAATTAATAAACACGTTAATATAGATGAAATATACCAACTAATAAGAAGTAAATCAGGTGATCAGAAAGTTTAAAATCCCAATCAATAGAAAACGGTCAATAAATATCTAAAGATGGTTACCGGGAGACACATGAAGAAATTTAAATCATTTCACTTTATCCTAAATACTGCGCTGAAGATGTCGTCCAGAAAGACGATGAAAGCTCCGCAATTAAACCAAGGAGCTCAGAGAACACTATCAATTCCAAATCATCCACCTGAGTTACAAATCTTTTCTAGTATGACATATTTACGAAACCTCAAGAATTTAAGCCATAACTAAACGGGTCAAAAACTACCCAATAAAATTATGTCAGTGCATGAAAAAAACATGACTTCACGGTTAAAAAAAAGTCTTGTTCGTCCTAAGACATTCTTCAGTTTATTTTAATTAAAACAATTAGCCCCTTTG